ATGTGTCTGATTGACAGCCTGTCGTTCCGAAGGAGTTTCCTCGGGATGAAGATCTTCTGCACCGCGTTACTATTCATTGTACATGACACTTAGTGAATATGATGACCAAGTTTATGTAATCTCGGCTGTCAAGTGGGAAGAATGGGATGAATGTAAGCAAGCCGTTACCATGGAAACAGGCCGCTTGATTGACAGCATAGTATTGAAGGTGTGCGATCAGGAATAAATTATGGCTTGGCATGTATAACGCACATGTATAACACGTACACACACACACACACACACACACACACACACACACACACACACACACACACACACACACACACACACACACACAGCTGCCTGGAAAAAAGTATGATTGATCATTTCAGGAATTTATCAGTGATGTTTTTCAAAATAAAGAAATAGGAGAAAATCGGATTTACAAAAAATATTATTTCTCAGCCTTTAAGTTTAAAAAATGTCATCAGTAAATAATACTGACTTAGTTTAAACATTCAGTTTATTTGTCTTAACTTTTACTTCCTTCCAGCCTTATCTTCCTATTTCCTTTGTTCTATGAGACCTTCCTTCTCTAACCCAAATTACTGCTCAAGGCCACGCAGAAGCTACAAAAAGACAACAAAATGGACACTAGCTTGTACTTATACTGCGGATACGGATACTGGCTTTACATTCAGCTCACTGGGTGGGATTTGTGAAAGATTACAACTGTTATGGGGCAGAAAGAAAGGAAAGCCAGTTACACAAGTAGCACATTTTGCTGACACACGCAAACACACACACAGTCTCGCCTCTCCTTTGTGTGTGTCCAGCTTTATTGCTTTTGACTGTTGCAATAAATAATCTTGACAAAAACCCTCTCGGTTAAAAGAACAGCAGCATTGCTTCACTCGGCTCTGCAACGTTTCTGTTTCTTTTTCACAACAAAACTATCATGACTTTCACCAACAGTTTTGAGTTGTGTGTGTGTGTGTGTGTGTGTGTGTGTGTAAAGGACACGTCTGGTGGCGTGAAATGCAACCACCTCCGCTTCGTTCTCACGTCGGTGCCTCTCTTCATTCATGCTGTAAACAGCTCGATCGCCGCTCGTCTCCGTCTCTTCTCTTTGTTTTTGCAGCGCATGATCCTGACCGTCTCACTCTCTCTTTCCACATGCGACCCCCCCCTCATCAAATATTCACAGTTGGTCCCATGAAACATTCACCCCGGTTATCCTCCGCCAATCAGCCTCCAGCGGGCGCACGAGGAGCCAACCAAGACACACAAACACACACAGACACACAAAGTGGTGGTCTGCCTGCGATATGGCAGCACTGCAGAGGGGGGGGGGGGGGATGACTAGAGAGGGGAAGGAAGAGGTGGCAAAAGAGAGAAGAAGAGACCAAGGCGGGAGAGGAAATGCGACTTGTGAGGAAGACGCATGAAAGGAAACGAGAGGAAGAAGCACCGAGGAGGACTCTGAGGATCCGCTCCTCAGCTGCAGTCCGTGTGCAGTGAGAGCAGAGCAGCCATTGCGCCTCAATAATTCAACGCCCCCCCACCCGTCATCACAGGGCCTCACCTTATAACAGCGGAGCCAAAAATGCAGCCCCAGCTCCACACAAGACGTGACGTGCAACTGTAGCTATAAATAACAGGAATCACTGGACTGATCGGCGGCGTCTCCCTCGGGTGCACACGCAGCACACCTGCGTTAACGCAAGCCGAAGCCTGTTCGTACACGTTCAGGTCTATTTTCTTCCCTCTACTACGGCGAACGAGCGTCGGGCTCTGAGCGCTGGTTGACCTACATTCCACTCGGTGCCTGAATTCAATTAACTGATATTCAATTAACCGCTGAGACAAGTGCCGAGGATTCGAGTCAGAGAGCTTTTGGTCATTTTTCTATTACAGTGCTTAAGAATATAAAAGTTGTCTGAATGCAAATTGCAAGAAATGACTGGATGGACGTTTAGTGTGTTTACAGGTTTGTCCTCTGGGAACAGTGAATTGCCGTCATTGTTGTTACAGTCAAAACATTGAAAATGCTTGATTGAATTAGCAAATAAGAAAAAGATCATTTAGAACTTTATCCTGGAAAACGTGCGGAGGACTAAAAGGAACCATAAGGTGAAAAAGATGTCACCTTCAGACACTAAAATCGATCATCAGGCTCCAGCAAAAGAAAAAAAAGAGCTATAAATCATTAAAAAGGGACGACTTTTGTCAATCGAACCTGCAGGGGCACATTACTACAAGCGGCACGAGAGAGTGAACCAGCCGGTTTCATTGTCCACTTCGTAAATGCTCCTCATTGTTCTCTATTTGAAGAGTTGTAAAACTGTTCATATCTTCCTGTCAACCTCTGCTCAGTTTTACCGTAGGCAATGTCAATAAAAGCGGCTTCCCGAGCTCGTGTTTGATGTCCATATTTTATGACTATTTAAAAGAAAGAATTGTGGACCCATAAAGGCTTGGACGGCAAGTTTAACTAATTAGCTGAAACTCTTCTTTAAAATCTGTCCGCGACAGAGGAGTCGATTCAATTCAATTCACAGCAGTTTCTGAATGCGCCGTGTCCTTAGCAATGTGGTTCCGTGTCAAAGCGCGCGTGTGAGCGTCAGTGGAAGTGACAGAGCACGCGTGAGTGTCTGCTCCAGCGGCTGCGCGCATGCATGTGACGCGGCATGACCCAGGCGTAATCGCTGAATTTGACGCGAGCCAATGCGTCCTCCCACAGCTGCATGAAATACGGCTTAATCCCACCCACGCACACACACACACACACACACACACACAAGCACACTAACATCATAAATACAAGTGATACTCCACCAACGCCAACACTAACAAGCACAGACCAGACTGTATATTTATAATATGTGTGTGGTTATGTTAATGGATTGTGTGTGTGTGTGTGTGTGTGTTTGAATGTGCATGCATGCGTTCTGCAGCCCTGAATTATTCATGTTTGTGTGTGCATGGAGACAATATCATTTCTGCAGGTGATGCCACGTTTTGGATTTTGGTTGGGTTGTCTTGGCTGTGAATTGTGATTATTTTTTGTAAGTCTTTGGTCATCGTTTCAATTCATTATGATAACAATGTACTTGAGTAATTGCCAGGAAGTGACCAAGAAGCAAGTGGTCAGAAGATCGGATGAGGAGGCTTAGTGCCACTGGGGAGAGGCATGAGGGGTCATACAATTCAGAATTTCAGTGGAAAATAGTCTGATTCCCAGTTCCAATCATTGTCTTAATTGTTTAAAACTGGTTTCAATGTGCTCATCGGCGTTTCCTCGTTTGACTTCCTCGTTCCGCCTTTTATTGGCAGATCTCAGCGTTTAATTTGATCGGTACAATATTATCAGGAATCAGGAAACATTTATTGCCAAAATATGTCATACATAAAAGGAATTTGACTTGGCGGTAGGTGTGCGACAGCAAACCAAATGGAAAATGCTAATAGAAAAAGATGACCCGAGTTATGATAAACAAAAACCAAGTGAACCTTTCCCAGATACACACTCCTTTCAGATCTATCCGTGTGTGTGTGTGTGTGTGTGTCTGCTTGTGACAAACATATTAGCAGCACCAGCACATTTCCGCTCTGATTAAGGACAACGAGCAGTGAAAGAGATGAGAAAATGTACAAGGACCGACCTCGTGCGCACAGTGAAGTGTGAGAACCGTTAAGCAGGTGAGAGAAAATCGGCGCAACTGCGCTTCAAGTGAGAAAAGAGCAGTCGTCTGTGCGTTTGTGTGATAATCGTGACCACTACCCAGACACACACACACACACACACACACATAGGAGGCAGGCAGCCTATGGCATGAGGAGTTTCACCCCCACTGTTGCCGGGTTACCGCCTCCGGACCACCACCTCATACACATACACACACACACACACACACACACACACACACACACACACACACACACACACACACACCCGCACGCACGCACAGGTTTCAAGATTTTTTTTCTCAAATCAATCTCTTGTTTACAGAGAAAACAAGATCAAAATGAGGCTGTTTGGGCAGAGGGGAAGACGATTGCATCTTCTGGGAAAAGAGCAGCGGGATGAGTCCAGAACTGGCTGCGAGCTGCGCTTCGTACCATCACTCAACCTTGGATGCAACCTCTTGTCACTTACACACCCACACACAGCCTGCTCACACACAGGGACCCGCGGGGACGCGCACACGGATGCAATTCATGTGCAAACCCAAACACATGCGACAACCAAAAGGATTGAACAGACAGTACTGCTGAGATTACAGCTACGTGGCAGCAGGAGCGCCGTGACACACAAGGCCGACTAGTGACAACAAATCTGCCTCAAATACTGACATGTGTTACACGTGAAAAACACACACACAAACAAACACGCACAGGCTGGCAGACATTGCCAGTGTCGTAATTCTGAACTTACACAATGAAAAATCCACGTTATTGCAACATATTGTTGTAGTTTGGGCTTTGTTTCCTACTCAATTTTTGTCAGAATCTATCAGAATATCGCATATAATTTTAGAATAGATTTTGTGAGAAAATTCCATTTCAATTTGAATTCAATCCAAATTCAATAATTTCTCCCAGAAAGTCCCAGAAATATTTCACTCCTAATTTATGTGTTTTTAATCATCACATTTGAGTCACACGTGTAAGCATCTGTGGCTCAAACAAAAGAGGCACAAACACGGAGCTAAAGTAAAGCGCCTGCAATCACGAGTATGTCAAGTATGTTACGGAGGGTGAAAGTTGAACCAGGAAGTCGCTCAGTAGATCTGGCTAACCTGACTGCTCGCATTTCTGCCTCAGTCGACATCTGTAGATTATTTTATATACCCGGCCATGAAATCCAACGCACAGCTACGGTCGCTTAGGATGAGAGAGACCGACGGCACTAGGAAGGCCTCCGGCTCTCCAGGAACTCTCCGCTCTTCAGGAAAACACATGGCACACCTGCAGCTGCAGTTTGCACAAACAGGCGCGGTACCCGCTGTACTCACCTCTGGCGGAGAGCTTTTTCGTGTTGATGATCTTTGCGGCATACTCCTGGCCGGTGGACTTCTTGATGCATCGGCGGACGATGGAGAAGGCACCCCTGGAGCGAGGGGAAAATAAATTAAATCAAATCAATCGATCTGGGAAACCACTTCAAAAGTAAAAACAAAAACCCCCACATGTATTTGTGACATGGGAACGTGCATGAACTTGTCACACACCGAGGGCACGCATGAACCACGCACATCTAAGGAGGGAGGTCCTGGCTACAAGTGCCATTGAAAGAGGGGGGGGGGTTGTTGTGAAAGGAGCCAGTTATTAGCTCCAAAGGTAGAAACATGAGTACAGGAGGCCGAACCTGCTGAAAGGTCAAATCAGCGTTGAACAAAGTCTTTGAAGGCTGCATTCCCCCCCCCCCACACACACAGACGCCTCCTTTAGAGTCACGCTGTCGGTATGAGAAGGCGGAGCAGCTCCGTGAGCCGCACGAACCCTGATCAGATGTTTCCAAAGTGGCTCTGAGGACACATGCATGCAACACATGGGTCCTTTCGTTTTGTAGTCCCGCATGCGGCGCGCGTCTACGTGCGCTGCGCGTAGCCTAAATGTGCAACGACCACGGTCATTCTTCCTCCTTTTGTGTGTGTGTACGTGTGTGTTTGTGTGTGTGGTGGCCTCACACAAACAACAGCCCTGCAGTCTGTTTAGAAATGCAACACACACACACACACACAAAAAAAAACACATAGATGCGAGATGAGCGCGAGGATGGCAGCCTGTCGACGCGCGCTACCTTCGGGCGCGCTGGGAAACAAGTTGGTGTCCCGCGCGCGTCGCTTTCGCACCTTTCGGGTCGCGAGCGGTGCGACGCGCACGGTTTGCACCTCCGGGGTTTAACGTTACGAGCCTGCTGCTCACGGCGCGCGGCGCTATCTCCCGTCCCTCCGCGTTTCTGACAGCTCCCCTCCTGCCCTGTCAACACCGAAGTGAAACGCGCACGAGCGGCAGAGGAGAAAAACGTGCGCGCGCGCGCCCACACACACACACGGACGGACACACGTACACACGGAACGCAACAAGAGCGGCGGCGGCGGCGGCGGCGTCTTACTTTCCGAGTTCCTCGTACAGCTGATATTCGTCTGTGAATCTGGTCGAGGTTACAACTGTAGCCATGTTGACTGGAGTGTGAGGGGGGAAGACGGGCTCGAGCTCTGCGAGGGGAGCGGGGAGTGGGAGGGGAGAGGGAGAGAGAGAGAGAGAGAGAGAGAGAGAGAGAGCGAGCAGCCCGGCTGTGGTAACAAAGATCCTCTATCGAGCGCACGAGCCACTCTGTGTAAAAACGACAAGACTAAATGGAGATTAAACTGATCTGCCGTCTGCCGCGGCCTGATGTCGTATGTCGTGTTTGATGATTTTTCTATTGTTTTGAACTTATATTAAAGTAAGATGAAGTACTGTGGCAGTGTATTGTATCTGCGACCATAGAGCCGTACTATTGCTGCAATAGTCTCAAACAATAAGAGGTTAGTTGAGTCGATGTAGTTCTGATTTGAAGGTTTAGTTCAAGAAGGCACATAAGAGCCACAGCTACAGATGCTATGATAATTCTCTGAATACAGTCAGCTGTGTGAGTGATATATGTTTCTGTCCACCCTGTGCTCATGCATAGGGCTCATCTGCTGGTCAAAGCTGTTGACTTTGTCTTTCCCGAACCAGAAATAAAAGGCAGAGGGAGACCTCCTGCTGCTCGTCGCTCTCTGGCAACAGCAGCAAAAGGTGGCGCGTAATCCACGCGAGATCTTTGCCGCTGCACCGGGAGCTGCAGATCCAGGCTCGGATTCACCGTCTCTCCCTTCCGCGTTCGACCGATTGACGCTAAAGTAAAGCTGACGCCGGATCAGCTGGAAGGAGCAGCGTCCTTCGGAGGCCAAGCCATGCAGTGTGGATGCGATGCCGCAATATTTTAATATTGGCACAGAGCAATGAGCTGCATTGTGGGAAAATGGTTTCATTTGCTGAAGTGGGCTTCCTGAAATGTGAGTCACCACTTAAAATGTGACACAAGTTGGATTTTACAATGGAACATCTTTTATTGTTTGTTGTTCTCCCTTTTATCAACCGTTTTATGAATCGCATTCAGCAACACAAACCTTACTAAATCTTACTGGACGTTTCTTTTAAACTTTTTTTTATATACCTAGATAAGACGTGTCTTTGTACTTCTGCTTTTTTAATAGCTCTCCACTCATTTGTGGAGATCTAAGGTTGGATTTTGTGAAGATTGTTCACAATGATCGTCATCCTTATCAGGTTTCCACAAACCTTTGTACCTTTTCACAATCATACGTTGCGCTGTTATTTGATCAGGCCCGGAGCATCACCCCCCCACTGTCATCCATAAAACCTCAATTCCAACAGGAATTTCAAAATATACACAAAATGATTAAACAAAGAGGTTTGCAGATGTTCATCTGTCGTTTATGATCGAGCGTGGCCTGTAGAGATCCCTTCAGGTAGCCGAGGCTTCGATCCGACTTCGCCCCGTTCGAGGGATTTAAACTGTAAACTGGAGCATCATTGTATAAGAGACAGGGAATTAAAGGCGTTATGTAACGGGCTGCTGCACTGTAAAGGTTTATCTGAGCTTTCATGAATATCTCATGAAGGGTATTAATATATCCCCTTGGCACCATGTTTAAGTGTGTGTGTCTGTCGGTGATTACAGCTGCACACACACACACACACACACACTCCAGTGATGATCATGTGTTTCTTCTGGTGTTACGCGATGAAAAAGTACTTCCTCCCCGGAGCATTTCGGTCATATTTCTCCATCCTCAAATGCACATGGGCACTTTAAAGCGGCTACAATGAATTTAAATGAGCAATGGGGCAAATGACCACCTTCGGTATAAAACGTGTCACTTCTCCTCTGTTCCATTCAGCGAGTGTCTCGGCGTTCCACAGCTCACTCTTTGGGTTCGCTGCCCACTCACTTGCGGTTCCTCGTCACCGCTCCAATCAACAGTGTTTCCTCGCTTAAAAAAATCCCACTTTGCACAAGCTGCCCAACTATAAAACTGCAGCCAGAAGTGAGCAGCTGAAGCTGGTGAACGTAGCCGGGTGCTTCTTTGAGGAGTTGGTGGTGTCCAAATATGTAGTTAAAAGAGAGTGAATATGAGCAAAACTTATAACATAAATCTCTTTCATAAATGATTCTGTTTTTTCACAACTGTTGATGGATGCACTGGCTTGTGGGAGGAATTACTGCACTAAAAACGTTCATGAAATGTTTATGACTAGCAGCTTGAGTGTTTATATATCTTATTTTTTTTACTTCTGTTTACTTTTATTTTTGGATACCGTCATCCTAGTAATGCATTCTTCTTGTCTGCCCTGATGATGCTGGAAGGGGTTCAACTCATAGCGCGTCGACTCCAAGGTTCCCACTTTGGTTTTGTTTCTCTGATGGCAAACCTAGAAATAAAGAAAAAAGAGATTTGATTATTAGTCTCGGATTCAACAGGCCACCTGAAACATGACTCCCACACGCTCCTCGCAAAAGACAGCCCGACGTATTTACCAGGTTCAACAACGCATGCATGTGCCTCCCCCTTTGTTCTCCCGAAACTGTGAGTATTTAGAAAGCAATGTGATTAATGGGTGCTTACAGCGAAAACAGGAGCCGCGCAACCAGTTTCTGCCGTTCTGAAGCTTAATTAGCGAGGGTGCAGAGGTGCAGAGGTGCCGTGAATTATGTTTCTTTGTGACGAGCCTGTCTTGGACAAGCTGTGCAGTAGTGGCCCTTTGCTGGCAAACCCAAGTCAAGAGGCGGATGTGCTTTGAGAAATTTCCACAGAACAGTGAATGGTTTCCCCTTGAACCTGAGTGTTTTACTGCGGTCGGCTTTTCCTGGAAGCCTGGAAACGGTACGCTGCTTCTGAATATTGCATCAGAAAAAGGCCATGTGGTTTAGTGTGGCTGAAGACGTTTTGATTTGGCCTGGTAATAAATCTCCTCTCATATCTTGTACACTGCTTGTGTGGAGGTCAGCAGAGGGAAATGCCCAATAAAACTCCCTCCTCTCTCACGCGGCGGCTCAACAGGCTTTGTTTCGGTGTCGGTAATTGCCTCTCGTCAGTCATCCCATTCGCTGTACTGGCGTCCTGTTTGGACAGCTCTCGCCTCATCACATGACACTGCATTATTTAACATCGGGAAAAAAAACCTGCCTGGAGTGCGTTGCAGAGAGAGAGAGAGAGAGAAAGCATCCAGTTTGTAAAGAGCGATGACACATCATTATTGCTTAAGGGTTATGGTAGATGATATACAGCACATTAGCCAAAGTGGTGGGAGGAACTGAAGTGAATATATCCAATAGAAACGGATCACCTTGATTTTCCACACACACCACAGTGAATGTATTCAACATGAAGCCTGTCATGATCTCAAATTAGAGGCCTCGCATGCTCACAGGTTTTGTGTCTGAACTCACATTGGCGTCATGCAAAGACACACCTAAAGATGTCCCCATGAGAAGATAATGGTTGTTTACTGTCCCAACACGGCCACTTATCTCATGTGCATGAGATAGAAAGCATCATCAACTCCTCCAGGCTCTACGAGCTAAACCTCCATGCAGCGATGATGCTGTAAGGTGAAAGGGGAATGACTCAATGTGCAAGAATGTTTTCAACGTGGTGGATCCAACTAATACGCTGCTTTGTTGATTACTAGACCTTCACATTGTCCCGAATAAGCATTCAATAGCACATCAGGGCTGTTCGAGGTGGGTAATGGGTTGCAATAACCATGCAAAGGACTCGGGCGAATGTGTCCCAATTGAGTCGTTGGTACTTCTCTGCCTTTAGTTTCCTGCATTTACATTCGGCGCTTTAAGAGCCGTTTTGTTGTTTTGATTGTTAACCTCCCACCACTCGGGGGTGTGGAGCTGTGTTTCAATTAGACCGCAAGGTCGGTACAATCAGCAGGATTACCTGCCACAGGGGTCGGTGATGTGGAGGCAAATCGTTTTTTGACCGTGGAAGAGTGAACGCGGAAGAATGTGTTTGGATTATGAGGAGCCCTTTAGGACTGTTGAAACACTCGCACTCACAACTGAGACACTCTTAGACGTACTAATGGAACTCTCTTACGTTCGCTACGTCAGCTGCTTCTGTGTCATATACACCTACATGTGAAATGCTTAAATGCATACAAATGAAAACATTTGTACGTATGAAAAACTGCAAAATATATATATATATATATACGTATTTCAAACATTTATACAAATATATGCGACACACTGAACGTTTTATATCTTTCATGCAAGAGATTCAGTTCTGCGTGTATAAGTGTTCAACAATAAATATACGACCTTTTCATATTGTTTCAGATAGATACGTATAAATGTTTAACCTATATGCATGTAAGCATTTAATATGTAGGTGTACATGACACAGCAGTATATATGTATGCGTGTGTGTTTTTCATGTGCGCTTCAGACGAATAAGTATGTTTTATATATGCGTGTGCATAGGTTTACAAAGTCTGTATGTATGTGTGTGTGTCTCAATAGTTAAGTTCTAAACGGCCCCTCATATAGCATCTTTTGATGGAGTCACTAGTGGCAAACAGTGTTATATCACTTTCATTTTTGTGTTGGGAGACGTCTCAAGGATTATTTAACGTGTCAAAACGAACTTAACACCAACCAAGGTGACCTCACTATTGATAGGAAAAAGGGTCAACGTGTTTTATCTACAACACAATGTCCAAATGAATCAAATTAAGTCATAGTTAAAACATTTTCATCAGCCTTTTGTGTTTTAACTTCACAACTTCACCAAAGAATCCCATGATCTGAATGTGGCCTTACCTTCAACGGATTATCCAACAGTGGATATGACAGCTCCCTCCCACGCGCTGGATAGCGCTGTGTGTTCTTCTGTGTGCGTGTTTGTGCGTGTGTGTAATTGTGTGACACCTCCTTTGTGATTTATATAATCTGACGGTGCCTTATTTCTGCAGGCCATCGCGATATACTGGGAATCAGATGTGTGGGCATCTAACGATGGTCTTCACCGGTTTTCTCACACGGGACTTTGAGCAACATTTCCACCGTTCACTCGAAGCAGCCAATTCTCTCTTCCCCGAGGTCTAGTTGCGATGGTGTGAGGTTTGTGTGTGTTTGTGTGTGTTTGTCGCATGCACACAAGCGGGAAATGGACAAAGTGCCTTCAGCTTCAAAGCCTCTTGGAGTGATGCTATATAAGTCATGAACTCAGCGCAGATGGATCCTTTGAGAATAGAAAGCCTCCACATGTTTGATTTCCAGTCCTTCTCATAAAGATGGAGCTCATACAAACTGCATTACTTTCCTCTGGCAATTGTGAAACCACATTTGAATTGCTGTAGCCCTATTTGACGATTGTTCTATCTCCATGGTGCTTTCTTTGTTTGTTTAACAAGAGCCAATCACATTGCTTAGTTATACCCCTAGCCCTTGTTTTCGAGTGTCCCTCCCTATTCGACTTTCCCTGAACAAACATGAAGAGGCATTTTATGACAGAATAGCGACGCCTTTCCAAAACCCTCAAAGCGTCATTTACATCCTCTTCAAACAAAGGGCATAAAGTTGTAAAGTATGTGTATGACAAAAGAAACAACTATTGCTACAACATTTTACAATGATTTGCACGATCATTGTAAATGTAACCCAGTAAATTCAATGTACTTTCTAATGTTATGTTTCTATTTTTTTCTATTTCTGACCGCACACGTTGTACCCATTAATACCACTTATCTTAATGCACTCAGAAACAAGCATCTTTGCAGAATCACAGTGACAAAGTATTTAACTCCTGGAACTGGACCAGAGAACACACTTTACCAGACAAGTGAAAGGTTTGAACATTTTTCCTAAGATGCAAATAATAAGAGAAAATGAATGTGAAGAAATTTGACATTTTATACAAATGGATCCCCCTGTTCGTCAAAAACCTGATATATCTTATTAATTATTGTTGTCCAAAAGCTACAAACACACATCAAGGAGCCACAATGTGGCTCTTCACGAAAGAGAACATGCACATCATATATTGAGACGTCCCCCGATGCAGTAAATACTCATTAAGCTCGCCGAATTTGAAATGAGAATTGTTCCCTCAGCGTCACAGACTGTAGGGAAGACCAAAACACTGCAAGCCGATAATCACAAAACCCTCATCCTTTAAACAAAGATTTCCCAAATATCCCTTTATCTTTAAACTAGTTGCTGTTTGTTATGTATGCGTTTTCAAGTAACAAGATATTTTAATCAGATGTGCAAGCTTTTCAGACATGACAGCCCCCTGCAGCCCCTGCGGAACTCTTCTCTTCCCTCCTCCACTCTTTTTATTTAACTCTGCACCACACAACTCTCACCAGAAACACGGCTAATGCCTCCAACTCAATCTCGCAAATGAGCACAAACAAGTGAGTGGGATGAGGAGCAAAATGAGACAGAAAGACACAGGGGGGAGGCCTGCAGAGGGGACGAGCAAAGCGCTGAGGGATAAATGAGGGGAAGAGGAGGAGGAGGAGGAGGAGGAGGAGGAGGAGGCATTTGGGAAAGAAACTGTGAAGAAGGACAGTTGAATATTCATTATCAGGCCACAGGGGAGAAAACTACAGCCCCGTCGCTACTGTGTGTGGGATTGCTGCTGACACTCACACACACATAAACACTCCTTCATTCACTCACACACACACACACACACACACACACAGGAGTGAGCTCCTGCACTCAGCACGTATCAATGCAGACACTATTTACTGTGTGTTGTATGTGACCAAGCAGCTCCACCTATGACTCATTCCTATTAAGCTCCAGCAGCAGCCGGATGCATGACCCCTTATCAGATTGCATCAGCTGAACCTCTAAAACATCACAAAACTTAATCATAATACAGTTACTAGAGTACTAGAGAATACTAGAGAAAATATATTTCCTCACACAAATTTTTAAAAAGTTCTGATTAAGGACACGTTTATGATTTAATCATTGATGTATTGTTTTAAAAGTTTTTCATATATGTTGAAGTTTATTTCTCCATGTGCACAAATTTCTGCATATTCTGGTGACCTGCTGAGCTGTGCACTAAACCACACTACTAATTTAAAACTCTCTGTTTTACCTAAAACCATTTGATGCCAGGAAGCATCTTAGAAAATCTGTGAAATTATTTCTGCAGAGATGGTGTAAAGTCAAGAGATGTTAAAGCTGATTGATTGAGCATTAAGGATTTTATTTAGATCCGAATGTTTTCACACATTTTCCAACATGGTAGATTAATAAAAGGAAAATTTCTAGAAAAGACTGAGCTTTTGTTGGTTTGTTTACAGACGAAACGTGATGGTCAGAGGTATTTTAAAGGCAGAGTGAGCTACAGCACAATCTCTAAACAACAGAACAAGGCGACACTTCACAGAAACAACCCCTGTGGGAGTTGTGTCATCCTCATAAGGGTCCTCTTGGGTGATTAGGAGTTGAGACATCGGGAGGTGACCTCCAGTTCCTCTTCTCGTCTCTTCAGGCCTCACGTACACATGAATGCACTCCATCTGTATCAATCCGACTATTCGTGAACACAGGCCTACATGCACAATGACACAAACATTGCTCCCGATGCAGTGCAACGACGTCCTGAAGTCCCCGTGCTGTAGTCTGGCTGCAGGACAGTGAGTGAGAGGACAGTGAGTGAGTCATCCCACTCAGCCGATGTCTGCTTTTTTTTATCTGGTTGCCTGTCTGTCTGTCGACCTTCATTGTTTAATTGTGGCTCTATCGTGTCAATCTGACCGGCCTGTCTACCCGTTTGTATTTGTATTTGTCTCCATCTCCCTCTCCCATTAACTTCCTCCTGGTTTAGTTATCGTTGAGGCATTTAGGAGAAAAGAGTGTTCCTCTGCAGGCGTGACCCCACCTTCTTAAAGAGGGCTTTTAATTTACATACTTTGCAGTGCTTAAACTTCAGCATCCTTTCTTTCCTGCCGTCCTTCCCTCCATTGTCCTCCTCCTGTCCCTCCAGGCCCAGCCAGGGACGCCACACTCCTCCATGGAGCTCCGGGTCAGCCAAAGGATCATCTGGTGGATTCCTCGGCATCACAGCTGTCTGGTTGTACTCTGCCAGCCTCCTCAGAAGATGTTTCACTACCTCTGGATGAGCTTCGGCCAGGTCTGACCTCTCGTAAGGGTCGGATGTGATATTGAACAGCCAAACCGACTTCCCCAGCTTGTTGCGCCGCTTCTCGAGGTTGTGCCAGCGTTCTGGACCAACGGGAAGAGCCTGGGGTGGTATCCAGTCCCCGTCACCCACATTTCCTGTCAACAGCTTCCAGTTCCCGGCCCTGATTGCCGCCCTTACGGCAGTGTCCCAGATCCCAAATCCATTGAGCACCAACGCCTTATCATACGGCTCCCCAGGCCTCCTGGAGACTGGGTCAATGTTATAAAGGATTTCCGTGCGAGGACAGGGAAGGCCCTCGCTGATGGTTCCCCACATGTCGTGACCGTCTAACCCATGGCGGGACCGCGGGGCCCCGGCCAGTCCCAGTAGTGTGGGATACCAGTCAGAAACATGGATCAGATCCCTGCTGACTGTACCTTTCTTCTTCAGTAGGGGGCTATGGACAAAGCCAACTGCTCGGATGCCTCCTTCCCAGTAGGTCCCTTTGCCTCCTCTCAGCGGCCAGTTGCTGCCCCCAGAGAGTGGCTGACCCCCATTATCGGACGAGTAGATCAGAACTGAGTTCTGATAGAGTCCACTAGCCTTCAGTTCCTGGACCACTTGTCCGACCCCGTCGTCCAGGCAGGTCAGCATGGCTGCGTAGTGCCGCCTGCCCCGATTGCCCTGGAAATCGTAGTGGTGCAAAAAATGGTCCGGTACCTGCAAGGGCGTATGGGCGGCCTGAAGGGACAGATAGAGGAAGAGTGGCTCATGGGGGTTGTGGCTCCGCAGGATCTGCTTCACTCTAGTTGAACAAAGGTACAATTTGAGTTTTAAAAAAAAATGTATTAATATAATTAATTTGATTCACATCTTGACGCTCACCTCTCTACGTAGAGCAGGGTGGAGTAGTTGCCGGCCATCTCCCAGGCAGGCCTGTCCCCGTCGTGGAGGTCGAATCCACAAGCCTCGGCTCCGTCACAGCTCCGATAGGAGTAATGGTCTCCACTGCCGGTCAATGTGCCCAGGAAACTCTGAAAGCCACGTCCTGTCGGTAGGCAGCTCGGCCTGCAGAAGCCCAGGTGCCATTTCCCCACCATGTGTGTGGCATATCCCGCTTCAACCAGACGCTCTGGTAAGGCGGGGAGGTCCGGGGGAAGGCACAGAGGTTGGCGAGACCGGATGATCGAATGCTGGAGTCCAGTGTGAATTTGGTAGCTGGCGAGATAGCGTGTTGATAATTGTACATGACAATAACAATACAATGGTACATTTCACGGGCGGGTTAATAAAGGTTACAACCTGGAGAACGCCTTTTCATACCATCAAACCGAGATGATCAGTGATTTTACAGAATTCTATTGTGCACTTCAAATTGACTTTTTGGTCGTTCCTACTTTCTTTATGCAACATTTCCCCCAGAAAAGAATGTCAGCGTTGGGTCACTTTTTCGACAGAGATAATAAAAATTCAGGATCAAACAAGCACACAGACTTAAATATAGAAGGGGATTTGCCAGCTATGTGTATCGTAAAGATCAGGTGAATTGTAGCTTATCAGTTTATTATAATTCTCCATTAGAAATGTTAGCAAAATACAAAAAGCAAGTAAATGTAATGATAAGGAAACGTCTCACCTTCCTGTCATGAGTTGACTGCGAGACGGTGAACAGATAGGCTGAACGTAGTAATTTTCAAGTTTCACCCCCTCTGCTGCCAGCTGGTTCAACGTGGGAGTGTGGATATCTGAGCCATGGTAGCCGATGTCTGCATAACCCTGGTCGTCCACCATGATGAAGATAAGGTGCGGGGGCCTGGGCCTTTCCGTCTCCTCCGTGACAACGCTGCCGTCCGTCGAATTGTCATCACCCAGGCAGCGGACAACCACCAGGAAAAAGACACAGCAGGTCCCTGCCCTCATCTCCAGTCTATCTACTCGTCTGAATTTGCCTGTAATTTATTTTCTGCTCAGTCTGCAGTCAATAAATGTCAAGCCGGATCGCTTCTGCGGGTAGAAATGGGATGTTTCTTGGCCCGAGGAGCTCGTCCCAAAGTCTTATCTGAGAATGAGTTGACGTCTTTCTGCCGGTTATACCCGATTTTTCGCGTCGGTGCCTGCGGGCGGCTGTGGTGGGGGTAGAAAAACTGCTGTCTCTCAGATGGGCACGACGGCGGTAGAGGTTTGTCTAGTGAGAGGGAGGCCTGACCTTTCGCAGTGCTTTGCTACATTCCGCAGTGTTTTCAGGCGCCTCAAAGACCGCTGGGAAGTGCCTCTGTAAAGTTTACAAATCCACAAACATACCACCACACAGGTATTGATATTATTGGAAGATGTTGTTTTCTTGGAGACGACCGGAACCATTCTCATCGCTTAAGACTTTGTAGTAGAGCAGTAGGGGAACTATGTTAGGCAAATGACTAAACCACTCCAGACAACATAAAATGATGATCAATTTGGAACAAACACAATTACTGTAATTTGTTAAGTTAATCTTCCATTGAGATTTCCCATAGTGCACATTCCAAAGTAAACAGTAAATCCAAAATGGAAAGAAAATAACCTGTCATCGTTTTTTTGCTGCTCAATTAATAGAGTCACCAGATGAAAATGACTGTCTGTGCCGAGGCAATAAAATGCAATCCAAATACGAAGGAACATCGGGGGTCGTGACGAGAATGTGTATCGACCAAAATGGCTGTTAGCTTTCACCTCACTGCCATTTCCTTCCTAAAATGCTGTGAGGAAATCAATGCCTGTGATACATTTCCTACGTCGGAGAAGTTAACTCGTGTTTCCTTGCTGGAGATTGAGATCTAAATGGCAGGAAAGGGAAACAAAGATGACGATGAGCCAAGACTGAAGCTCACAAAGTGGATTGTGTGAAATCAAAATGGGAACATATGAGAAGGAATACATGACATGACAAATTAAGCACCAAGTAAAAAAGGACAAGTGGGAAAAACAAAAGAGGAGAAAGAAATGAGCAACAGCAGGACAGGAAAGGAAAAGGAACGCTTCACTGTCCGAGATGAGAGAGTACAGCGCAAACAAAGTGGCATAAAAGGAGCAGTGGCTTTGTCTCGCTGTGTGTGTGTGTGTGTGTGTGTGTGTGCGTCTGGGTCTCTGGGTGTAGCCATCAGTTTGCCTCAGGGAAATGTTGGGTGACATGAACTCCGGTTTACCGCTAGGACGGAGGAGGCGAGGGAGGACAGGCAGGGAGGGGGGGGGGGCTGTAAGAATGGACAGTGACAAATGTCGTCTTGAGGAGGCGGGAGAGAAAGGGACTGTGCTTCGCTCTCAAGAAGTTTTCAGCAGCATTTTCCGTGCATTCTGTTCACTGTGTTATCGACAAATCCACTTTCGACTGTGCAACAAAAAAGAGGCGGTGGTGCAGAGCAGAAGGGCGTAGCAGCGGGTGTGATTTATTCATGACGCCGAACCAGTAACTCACTCAATCTGGAGCCGCTCTTTTGAGCTGGAGCTGAAGTGAGGGTTTATATTTGTTAGTGTGTGTGTGAAAAACTGCGTCAGAAAATGACATACACCATACAAAATAAAGAGGCCCATTTTTGTATTATTATTAAATCTGAGATTTGTTTTGGTATTTAAAATAGACCATGATATGCACACATGTATTAATGTGGCAGACGACGGGTGTCTGTCTTGGCTGATGGGAAACCATTGAACTAAAACTCACGGCAAACAGCATTCTGAAAAAGAGACCTTGCCTTCATAGCTTTCCGTATACTCGGCTTACTACTGTGACGATATATTGTTGCGTATATTGCAGGTCAACTCACAACAAAGAGATAGGGGGGATGCAAAAAATAAAAACTCTGACTCAAATGAAAAAAAAAAAAGTAAAAATGACTCTTCAATCTGCCACTACTTGCGTTTTTATTCATTCAAGGTACATTTAGAATGCAGCCTTATACCCTTAGACCCCGGCTCCGCTGCTCCTGACACACCCGAGGATCATCTCCCAGCCGGCAGACACTCAATCCGCTCCTCATTCTCCTCACCTTACTCAGTGATGGATTGACAAGATGAAGGGGGGGGGCGCTCAGTCTCATCTCATGAAATGAAACACCCACGCAGAGGAGACTGGTGGCCTGATGTGGAATTCACAAACTCTGAGTGAACTTTTCCTCTTCCTCCTTCTGCACGGCGCCTCCTCCTCAGACGTTTCCCTCGGGGAGGGCGAGTGCTGGATTCCTCTTTAGAAATGAAAGAGATTACAGATGCAACGTAGTATGCAGGCTCATCTTCATCATTCTCAGCTCGGTGGCGCTGGCAGCGGCTGGTTGGCAGCGTCCGCTGGCATGGATTGATCAGTTAAAGGGCGCTCGGCCCCGTGCCAGATACTACTCAACCAATCTGTCCGTCAAAGTCATCTCAGGAGGGCAAAGTGGCCCACAGAGAAGCCAATAAATAGAAGAACGACAGAGAAAACGACAAAGGCTCTTCAAGGTAAAAATCGTTGAAAACGAGGGAAAAAATGAGACAAACACTGAAAGAGAAAACAGAGATAGGCCAGCCTAACTAAAACTGATTATCGCCTCACTTAACAGTTCCACCATGGCCACAGGAAAAAACAAAGTCTCCTCCCTTTCCTGAGCTGAAGCCAAACTCGACGAGTCATTGCCGCACTCTTAATTTGTGCACACAGAGCGAAGAAACACATGGAAACCTTTTAGCTGTGCCGGCGCATACGGATTTTGACCTTGAGGATTTTCTTGAGAGACGGCCCACTTCTGTCCAGGGCACAGTGACTTGAGCCACAGCTCGCTTTTGTTTTAGTTCGACGGGGAATATGGTCTCACGCATTTCTCTTCTCAGATTTCTGTGTGCTGGCAGCATTTGTATCAAGTGTTTTGGGGAATTATGCGATTACTTCATGTTACTTCACGTCTCAACTGGCTCTGCTGAGTTTTAGGGTTTTAGTTATCGAGCCAAAGAGATGTTTGCAAAAAGTTAAAAAATTGCAACCAAAATGTTACATATATCTATTTAAAAATAGAGCCAAGACTGTTTTTTATTTTCCTACAATAGCCATATATAACCTGTATATCTATACTTTTTACCTAACAAAAGGGCCAATAACAAATGAATGAGGCCAATGATCAGTCTACTTTGAACCACTAGAGGGGGTCGTTGGCAGTAACTACAGCTACATGTTTCTACAGATCTGTCTAATACAGATCTGATATGAACTGGATCCGTTCTGTCTCTCTCAGATCTGATGCCATCTACAGGAAGAGAGGGTGATATTGTGTGTGTGACCCAGGACTGGTCTTAGTTTCTATCCTGAGGTCCGGGGACAGCTGCAGGCCGAGGCTGCCAGGGCGAGCAGCAACATTGGTAACCTCCTGCAGTATTGATAATAACAGCGTTGCCTTTGGAGGACGGAGACTATCCGGACGCGATCATCACGTCCAAAGGGCCTGACTTTTAGGTTAAGGTCGAACTTACTATTGTTTTTCGGGGCTTTCTTTTTTAAAATTTGTTTTAACTACTCAGACCAGGAGTGCGACATTCTCCTTTACCCAATAACCAAATTTAAACTAAAAAGTAGGAGTGACCCTTTATCATCAGTGTCATGCTAGCATTGTCATTGAGAGCGTTCTAGCACACTGATGTTCATCTCGCTGCACCCCTGTGACAAGCGTCAGCTTCACAGAGTCCACAGCTCCACAGTCTTAGTTTCTGTGTGGAACATGTCTTGTGCACACTCTCCACAGTTGCCACCACATCTAAGAGTTTGGCCGGGTGTCAGAATCTGAGGTTGAGGGCAATGTACGAGTGACATTACCACGTCTGATTTTTATCAGCCAGGTCTACACTTAAGTCTTTGTGTGGATCGGCTTTCTGCCTCGGGTTAATGAGCCTTCTGCGTTTCACAGTAGTTGTCATTCAGTCAACACTGTGGAATTATGATATATTTAAATGTCACCATGCGGGCTGTTCATCCAGAGCATGCATAAGCATTTATCCTAAAAGCTCTACGATGACAGGCTCAAATGTCTCCGGATCCACTGCGGCCCTCAACAATTAAAGACCAACCGGCTCCGATCGCCTCGACGTAGTTTATCTGCACCGTTCTATTCTCTGTAACTCATCAAAAGTGGACTGTTCAATCACGCCCTGTCTCGTCGAGATGTGAGAGTCTGCCTTTGACCCGACTAAATGTTCCCAATGACCCTTAAGCGCGGCGAAGCAAACAGCGCCATTCAGACGTGAATGTTACCTCTCCCCTGGTCTGCAGATGAGCAGTCGAGGTGGTGGTGCTATCCTATTTTTGGAGGGGCTATCAGCGGCCCAGTGGCACAGGTCTGAGTGACAGGACAAGTGTTGCGTTGGGCCCTCCCCCTCCCCGCCCGCTCGTTTAGGGCAAGCATTCCTCAGTGTAAGCAGACACAGAGCCCCCCTCCCTACCCCCCCACCACCCCCCATCATATTTCTTTCTCCCTCTTCCTTGGCTATGGTGGTTGGCCCTTTCTGGGTATGGGTGGGCGCACAGAAAAGTGTGTGTGTGTGTGCGTTCAGGTGTGAGCAGTGGCCTTGGAACTGGATTCAGAGAGGAGTCGCCGTACGGACAGCGTGGCAGACAAAGAGCAGGTCAGAGCTCACTGAGGGGGCCCTGCCAGCGGACAATGGGGCCGACGTACTGAGGGGGCCCCCCAGACGAAATATTGGGAAAAAAAGACACAGAGAGAGGGCGGAAAATAACCAAGAAAAAACTGAAAAAACTGAGCAGGACGATGGTCGCAGAGGAAGCGGTGGTTACGTTGTCCGGCGGAGCGCCGTGGGGCTTTCGTCTCCAGGGAGGAGTGGAACATCAGAAAGCGCTGCAGGTGGCTAAGGTGAGGCAGGTCCCTCTGCAGGCCGCACGCACAAAATAAGTCTCTTCGGCGTTTGTTGGACACAACGGCCGCGGTAAAGAAAAGCGAAAACATGGTCTGCGATGCGTCAAGTGGCGATTTGAGGAGCGGTGAACCAAGTTAAAAGGGCGCATTGGCCGGCGTGCCGGTTGGTTTGGGGCCTGAACATGAGTCATCTTCTTGTTTGAGGGCGCTCTCCGTGCAGAGGCGCACTGATGATTGATTGAGTGAACTTAAAACTCAAAGTTCAGCCGGGAATATAGAGTGACCTTGTCACAAATCTGCCAAAGGCTGCGGCTCACATTACTCTGTATGAATCTCTTTCACTTTGAAAGTTTCAAATCAGAACTCTTTTTGGGCCACCTGTTGGTTTTTGACAAATAAGTGCCTTTGTGCTCCTTACTGCTGCTGTTGTTCACATCGCTAAGGTTTCAGGTCCATTAGGTCATTGTTTTGTAAACTTTACATTTTCTTTATTGTGAGGAGCTTTGAGATACAACACAACATCCATCCATATCTAGGCTTATTTGCCCAATTCAACGAGCGTCTTTCCACCATACATACTATGAAAGAGACTGAAGAACAGCAGTTCAAATTAAAATGAAAATAAACATTGTTTTAGCATTAGAGAACACGTGTGTGAGCAATGCATGTCATGAATGTCTGGATTTGGTTTGGTTCTGGAAATTTGATATAAAATACTAAATCGATACTGCTTCATAAAAAATTATGGACGGCTTTTATATCTGCTTGTATAAAGAAGTGTACTGAAATGAAATATTGTGTGAAATATTTAACTTTATAACTCGCATCTCATTTTACTGCCCAAAGCAAATTCTTCATGGAAAAGAATTTGTGGCCCACTTTCGGGACCACTGAAGTCTTCCAGAGTTAAATCTGGCTCTCCGGTGGGAAAGCAAAGATTTCCATGTAAGCCTAAGGGGAAATATACAGAATAAAATGCTTAATTAGTCTTTAGGTAGTAAAATACTACTGAGAGAAGAAGCTGAAATTAGACAGGAAGCAAATGGGAGAAAGATCCTGCAGAACCTACATTTTCTCATATTGATCCTTTGCCGTTTGTCAGTTTAATGTCACCACCGTCTGCGACATGAGTTGTAAAAATCATCACCGGACAGTCGCTCACTGCTCAACTTTGTACCGAGAGATCTCATTCACCTGCAAACACATCATACTCACATACATGTACACACATGACACAAACATGTATATCCAAACATACTTTCAATAACTGTTGTCTGAGCAGAACTACTTTTCCATTTGGCTATTTTTGGCTAAGAAGCCGCAGGTCAAGGGGTCGGTAAAGGTGTATGTTTCACCTCACATACATGCATTAGTCCGTATCTCGCTGCCGGGGACGAGGTATACCTTATTGTAAATAGTACATAAAACATTTTTTACTGACCTCCTGCTCATCATTTTCTTCATATTTATCAAAGATTCAGCCTGACGATTTGCATATATTCAACCATTTTGTCTATGACAAAATGCTTAGGAAATTGAGCTTGTAATTATCGGGCCCTGCTGATCGATTGGTTCAAAAAGCTTGTTCAACAGAAATAATTGCGCAATGTTTCATGTACCTTTATGTACATACTGTACGTATCAATAATCAACAATCCTATACCTCGTGAAGAACTAAGTCATTGATTGTATTTTCCATTATGAACCTCTCTATATTTCACGTATTTTTTTTTTGAAAAGACAGTTAATTCAATTTGAAATTTTCCCACTTATAGACCTAAAAAAATATTTTATGGCAAAATCGGTCAAGCAAAGCTAACATTGGTTTGTTTATCAGATAAGAAAACTGCCAAGAGCCATGCACCTCCAGATTATACCTCCCAGACAGTCTCCATATTCATAAAACACCCTGCATTTACAGAAAGTATTTAGTCATTAGAATTAGTGTCATTGACTCATGCAGAATGTGCTGGTATCTGCACAGAGCCACAGGACACTGATTCACCTTTATGAAGGTGGACGACAGTTGGTTGTGTTTGATCTACCAAAACAGGATGGTCCTTCACCCCCGAGACCAGGAAGTTATAATCTTGTCAAGTCTATACTGTCCCTAACAGGTGTGGCAGTGTGGGGCTTCACTGAAAGAGCCGGTGTGTCAGTGCTGGTTTTGTGCCTGTGGCTCTGCATGCAAGCGTCTGTGTGGTTATTTATGACTTTATGTGTATTTTTGTTTCAGTCCGTGTGGTGTGTGTGTGTGTGTGTGTGTGTGTGTGTGTGTGTGTGTGTGTGTGTGTGTGTGTGTGTGTGCATGTTGGAGCATTATAACCGTTATGACTTTAAATCACATGCTAACTGACTGAATGAACGACTGATGTCCTGAGGCCACTTTGAAAAGGCCTCGCTAAATGTGGACGTGGGATTTCATTACAGGCCAACCAGAATAACTGGAAAGAAAAGTGTCTTTGACCAACCAATACAACTTTTCCTTTTCAAACATATTATATTAATTATTTCATGGCAGTGCATACGATCGGCACTGCAGTCATAGTTTTTAAATTTGTTTTAAATATCTGCTTACAATTTATTGTGGGACATGTTGACATGGCACGCATAGACCTGAGGCAATTTAGAGTGGGCATAACGCCATGGTCCTGACAGACCTTGTGCACAAATAGCAAAGCACCAAATGAAAATGTCCACTGGCTGACATTTCGCTGTTTAAGTGTGTATGAGTGCTCCACTCGAGCTGCAATATGTGGCATGTGTCCGCAGCAAGATCAGACTGTCAGATGGTCCTCTCACAAACCAAGACAAGACAGCATCGCTTTGACCGGCTTTAATGCAAATACAAATCTTCTGGGAAAGAAGAGTGTTGATATGGTATAACTGAGACTTTAGTTACAAGTCATGTCAGATATGATATAATAGCGCATGAATAGATCAAGAATACTGTATAGAAAGTAAAGTGAAATGTACATATGCTTTTCTATTTCCCTTTCCATTGACAGCATTTGGATATGAAAGACATCCATCTCTTAGATTTGCCCTTGAGTTATTAAAACACACCTTGAGATATGCCCTCAAGGCCCATGAGATACGTGTACGTCTAGAAGGACACGGTTGTGTTGAACGTGCACCCAATAGATCTTAAAACACAAAACATTTTGATGATACAACCCATCACAACCCATTTTGACGTTTTGTGACTGTTTATCCTTTTGCCTTCCTTTGCCGGTGCAGGTGCGTAAACGTAGCAAGGCGTGCAGGGCCGGGCTGCGGGAGGGCGATGAGCTGGTGTCCATCAACGAACAGCCATGTGGAACACTATCCCATGCCAAGGCCATGGAGCTCATCGACAGCTCCCCTGGGATACTACACATCAGGGTCAGGAGGTCAGAGGAGCAGAGAAGTGTCATACTCATACCAATCATTAATCACCATCCCTTTGTAATGGATCAAGGGTCATGAACTGCTTACAATGTGCACACATATGCTACTGCATTTTGTATTTGATAATAATATATATATATATATATATATATATATATATATATATATATAGATATTGTAAAATCATGTGCCAAAACCCCACCTACTGTAAGAAGATTCCAATAAAACAAAATGACTCCTCCAGTATTCTAAACCTCCCACTTGTTTGCAGGACACCTGCTGGTTTTCAGTCCGTGGTGCTTGTGACCCGGGCCCCGTCTCCCCGTATAGACAAAGAATACCGCGCTGCTCTGCGTGCAATGTCACCCAACCGCCCCCACCACGCACCCGTCCGTGAAGTCCACCGCAGCCACTCCTCCATAACCAGCGGACTGACATCCCCGCCTGGCAGTGAGGCCTACTACGGCGAAACTGACAGCGATGCAGACGTGGCGGGCTACGAGCGACAGCGGCGGCAGAAAAGACGCAGCCCCAGCAACTCCAACCCGGGGAAACCGGCAGGCCGAACCTCGCCCGAGGGCGGAGAGACGTCCGAGATGAGCGGCTATGACAGCGCTCCAGATGCACACGTTTACCCCGGTGTGTTGGATGGACACGGGGCCGATGGTGGTGGCGGGCTGCCGGGGGTGGCGCGCCGGGAGGTGATTTACCAGCCCCCTGTTCCGGGACTGTGGTCCTCCCAGACGTCCACCGAGACTTCCTCCATAATCTCCTCGGCAGATGACCAGGGACAGCGGGATGCGGGGCAAGAGGTGGACAGCGGCTTTCTCGAACCATCCCACGTGCCCCTGGTATCTCCTGAGAGGGCGAAAGAGGCCATGATGCTGGGCTCCCGTAGCCAGCTTGTACCCATGGTGGGTCCTGTGAATAAACCCCTCGACGAGGAGCTCACAACAACCTACAAGGAAAAGGCCAAACAAGCCAGTAAGTGCAGCTGAGGAAGAACACTGTCAGAGACCCGTACATACCATAATGTATGTGTCTGTGTATTTTCATTCAGCATTTACTTAGCCAAGCTGATCCCATTGACATCAATTCCTTTCAAGCCTTGATAATGATGCCGGACATTTATACAAACATGTTTCATTGAGGCTGAAATATTGAAAACCCTGTGTCCCAGTCATTTAATCTTGCAGTCAAACATATCTTGCAGTCAAACACCATACATACTCATACACATATGTTTTCATTTAGGTTAGTAGTCCTGTGTGACAGTGTCAACCAGTCTGTAGAACAGAATATTGTCCATACAGTTTACCATATTTACCTCAAGTGTTGTGTGTAAGTAACAACCCAACTGATCAGTCTGGGATCACTGACAAACTTCTACAACTGTCAGAGTACGTAAGGCTTATAAGGTGCGAACGTATTCTTCGCGCCAGCTAACGTGAGAAGCTGAAAGCTTGCCTGGAATAACAGGAGCACCTCACGGGGAGTGAGGTGCTCCTGTTATGAGATGAATGCCTGTTGAAGGCGTGGCGGTCAGTCTAGGTTTAGATGCTCATATCAGTCCGTTTTTCCTGACCTCGCTGCAGTACTTTGTTAATGGTATCGTGTAACTGTTCCTAATAGCTGTGGCCTTCCTACCCTGCAGAACTGAACCGAGGGGATACTGTGCAAGACAAGAATGTAAAGGAGGCCAAAAGCAAGTGTCGAACAATTGCATCCCTACTGACCGATGCTCCCAACCCTCACTCCAAAGGGGTGCTGATGTTCAAGAAGAGGCGGCAGCGCTCCAAGAAGTACACCCTCACCAGTTTCGGTAGTGTGGATGAAGATAGGTGTCAGGACTCCCAAGAAGAGGATGGGGTATTCCCCGGCAGCGAATCAGAGTTAGATGAGGATGGCTTCTCTGCCGTTCCCGATCCAACTTGGGATAGTGACTACTTGGATGTGCTTGAGAAGAGGGCAACTGCAGGCACAGAAGGTCGTGGGGATGGAGCAGAGAATGATCCGACCCCAGGGTTGAGTGACACCACAGGCAAAGGCGCCCAGTTGTTTGAGCAGCAGAGAAAGAGGGCTGCTGAGCATGCCCAGAAAGTTGAGGCGGCACAACCTACGGCTCCTGCACAGTCTCAGACCCAGGTGTACCAGTTGCAACCAGAGATACAGCCAAACCTCCAGCCTGAACAGATGGTACCATCTGGTCCTATGGCCAGACAGCAAGAGGTTTGCCCAGTCGCAGCTTATGGAATGTCGAATGGGTCCTTTTCTGCAGTCAACAGTAACATGATGATGTCAACTCCACCTGTGGCACCCAAACCAGTTGCTGCCTCGATGACTGTTCTCACCATACCTGCACCACCAGCAGAAACACCATTACCAGAACTGCCTTCTAGTAATGTTCTCAACAGAACGGCACGTCCTTTCACTCCTGGCTTTATCAGTCTTCGGTCGGCCACGGTGCCTGTAACGTTCCGACCTTCTGTGACAAAGACGAGCCAGCGTCCTGCCTCAGCAGCCGTTGTTCAATCGCGATTCTCCACTGGCGCTGAATTAACCATAAATGCTATATCGTCAGCATCACATCCACCCCCTGGTCCTCCGTCAGTGTTCTCCCCACCATCCTTTGCACCACAGGGTCACTTTGCCCAGACACCAGATGCTCCTGTTACTTTTCACCCTGCAGCTGCATCTAACGCCATAGAGAAAATGCAGTCATCACCACAAATGACTGCAACTCATCAGCCGTCATTTGCAGCTAGGCCTAAAGTGTCTGCGGCTCCACAAGCACCAATGGCCCCAGCCCCAGCTTTTCCTGTATCTGAAATTCTTAGTTTACCTGAACTATATACTCAAGCGCCACCACCTCCCGTTGCTCAGTCACACCCACCTCAATTTTCAATGGCACCTGTAGCTGCAGTATCAGTAGTCTCTCAGCCAGAAGCTGTGGCACCGACCCCTGTTCCTGGTCAAACAGGTCGCACAGGAATCTTAAATGACGCTCGAAGACGAGGTGGCAAACCCAAACCCATGTTCAATGTGCCAGAAGTCAAGAAGAACTCCCCAAATCCAGAATTATTGTGTATGGTGCAGAATCTGGATGACCGGTCTACCCGACACAAATATGGCCAGCCACCACCTGAAGCTATCTATGATGATGTAGAGGAGGAGAGGAGTGTTGAGGCGGGCATGGGAAGAGCCCCTCCTCCAGTGGCCCCCAAGCCTCGGGTCATCCACGAAACCCCACAGTTTCTTCAAGCAGGGGGTAAAGGCGCCGAGCTGTTTGCCCGCAGACAGAGCCGTATGGGTATGTACGTGGTGGACACCCCACTCGAGACCCCTTACCAACAGGAAGTGACCTCACACAGGGCAGCCACAGTGCTTGACTACTCTCCCAATCCTTCATGTCCATCCCAGTGGAAATACTCCCCAAATGTTCGTGCTCCTCCTCCCATTGGGTACAATCCACTCCTGGCCCCCTCTATCCCTACCGGGCCTCAGAGGAACACAGGGAAGCCGGACAGCATGGGTAGAGGAGGCTCCCAGAGGGAGGGCATCAAAGCTCTGGATGCCATGAGTAGGCAGCCCTACCAGCTCAACTCTGCCATGTTCAACTACGGGGGCAGTGCTGCTAATCTATCAGCAATGCCTTCCTACCAGACCCAGAGGCGGCAGGGGGACTACACGACAACAATGGTGGGCAGTTCATTAACCTCACCAAGGCAGATCCCCGTCAAAACAGGCCGTGTCTTTGAGGTCAAGCGATTCTCCACGCCCACACCCATGTCAGCTCCTACTCTTGCGACCAAAGTCATTGCACCCCGGTCGGCGACGACGCTTGGAGAACGTTTGACTGATTCTAGAGTGATCTCTCCACCTCCTGCTAATTTTACTCCGGCCCCAGCTCCCTTCTTCAAACCAGCACCAGTCAGCGCCTGGAATCCAGCTTCACCTCCCTCCCAACCACCTGGGCCACCTGGCCTCCCAAAATTCTCAGCCACCCCTATCCCACACCCTGCCCCCCCTGCAGTCCCTACGCCGTACACCCCAGTGTCGTACACCAGTGGGCTCCACTCAGCCAAGCAGTTCCAGAGCGCTCCTGAACTCAGTATCCTCGCCTCTTTGCCCCCACTCAAGTCCGACCCAGTTCAGGCACCTAAACCACGTTTTGTTGCCACCAAGGGAGGTGTTCAGGCCCGTGTCTGGAGGCCAGGGGCAATTTAAACAACAGAAAATCAGTCACTACCACCCTCGTGCTGATTTTGTAAAATGGCTCATTATTTGATAAAAAAATTGAAGAAAATGCATTGGTTCCAGTTTCCCAAATTTTGACAATGATTCTCCTTTTCACCTATTATTATTATTATTATTATTGTTGATTAAATATCGTTGGGTTTTGGTGGGGTTTCGGCTTTTACAAATTGCGTTGGGCGATTCTCTAATGAATTCACCAATTAATAAAAAAGTAACAAATAAATTAACATAACTGGCCCTACATTGATTTATTCAAGCTTCAAATTCAGCTGTGAACAAAAGTACCATAAGGTGATGACGAGGTGTCAGAACGTCAAAAACGGTAAGACACCATAAACATCTATACTTGCTGTTGAAAATACTACTTATCACATTTAGTTTTGCTGTTGTATCATTCACTCACATCTGAGTAATGGTACTACGTATACTGCCACATACTGCATGCTGTATAGTCCACCATTTGCCTGTCCTGGGGGAGGTTTGTGTAAGGCTTCTGGAAATCTCTTTCCATTAATTTAGCAGAAGTACCATGTAAACAGAGCCTGTACTGAAATATTCTTTGAAACTTGAAACGTCTGAAAGATGTTAAAGATGAATAGTTGCTGTTCGGATTATGTGACTAAATCCAGGAAGAAATACTGTGTGTTGTAGTAGGTCAACAGGTGAAGGATCATAAAGCAAAGTAGCAGTTTTTAAAATCTGATCTTTCAACATTTAATTCTGTTATTCAGTCCTAAATACTATGAAGATGAAATGAAGGGGTTTAAATGATGCATGATCAGTTTAATATTGTAAAATGTTTTTAAACACCTTTACACACTTTGGAACTAATTGTGTAGGCAAGGTGTCAGCCGGAGAAAGATTCTATCTTTTAGCAAGTGTCCCGTTCAACAAGTGGCCGAGCTGTCAAAGAATTGGCACTTGGATATCGGCAGGAAAACCAGTCTCAGTGTTATCTTTGCAGAAATGTACATTGTTAACTTTTATTAAACAAATAACACAGATGAAGGAATGTGCATTTGGTCTTGTGTAATTGTGATATTTATCAGGTGTGATAAGAGGGGAAGTTGATTAATTGAAAGGCACCAGAATTTATAAAAAGATTTAAGAAACAAGAGTTTGGCTGTGCAGGAGAGATGAAGCCGGTATTTATACCAAATGGGTCATAGCTCGCCGTTTGTGAGCTAATATAGTTGAATTTTATGAAATTCCACAGCCTGAAGGAGTTAACGAGGGACGCACAAGAAAGTTTGGTACCTTCAGTTTGTTGGTAAAGCTGAAGCTGATGGAAAGAAGCACATGGGTCTGGCTGGTGTCTTTCCAATGATAATGGTTGCTGTTGAAAAGTAAGGACTAACATGTAATGGCTATATACCTTGAGAGATCAGGTATGTTAATGGTAACAAATAAATGAATGTTGTTTTCAATTGTGGAGCTCTTGGGGTGATATTTCTATAATTCTTTACAAATTTGACAACATAATTTTCCTTTTTTTTTTTCTGGTGTAACGGCAACAAAAACTGTTGAATGTAGTCTGATTCAATGAAAAGTGTGAAAATGTTTCTTAATGCTGAGGAGACGTTTATACTGACTAGGAGACAAGCTTTTTGAGAGGAATAAAATTAGGTTTGAAAGCTCTCTAGTTGTCTGACACGTCTGATTTTACACTGCCCCCTGTTGCTGGTTGTGTGATCCTCCTCTTTTATTGTTAATGTTGAGGACATGCAGTCAATGACATCAGAGACTTAGCAGTGCGATAACTAACTGATATTAGTTTAAGTAAAAAAACAAACACTCAAAGGGTAAAATGCTTTACAAGACAACACACACACACACAAAATAAGTACATCTTTACCACAGTGTGGCCTCCATTCAGTTAAGATAGTTAATGGATAAGACATCTGGCTAAGTATCTAATTTCACAAAGTAATATTGCTGTTGCTCGTTAAGCAGAGGTTACTTCAGCATATTCTGTTCCAGCTCCATTAAGTGTCTAATGTAGGAAACTAGACAGGTTCGTATGACTGGTTAATTCAGTTAATTCAATAAGATCATAAATTAAACAGATCAAAACAGGACAACGGAAATGTATTCTTGCCTCATGAACATTGACAGTAGTAGTATCTGCGCTCTGTACTGGGGTGGTATTGTATCAAGGTCAATGTAATGTTATTACAGGGCTATTTATAGTACGATTATTGTCAATATCACCTTTGATCACACACAATTTTCAGCAGTTAAGATGCAGCAAAAATGCATTATTACACTGTCATTGATGAAGCATAATTAAATAGATTAAGATATTTACAAACGTCTGAGAAAAAAGTGAATCAGTAACAGATCTCCATTCTGTTTTGAGCAAAATGGATTATTCATCACCTTTATGTCGTGAATTGAACCCTCGGTCACGGTCTGTTCTTGGTCTTGTCCCCAGAGTACGGGGTTGAGTCGTAGGTTCGGTGTCAGAATAAAGAACATTTCAGGACCTCGTGTTAAACCCTTGAGTCACATGGATGTGGTAAGGTAGTACGAGAGATTCTCCTGACAGCTGATAAATCACCATCAAGGGAACATAATGTTTTAATTTTTAACCTCACAGTTTCTCTACACACGCATTGGAATTAATCTGATATGTGTGCACATACATAATCTGTTCAATCACTTACAAATCTGTTTCATTCAATTCTTTAAAGGTACACGCTTGATTAAAGTCTTTCTGCCTCAAATGTTGACTCAGTGTGTTAAAAGTCACTTCCCATCCTGTGACGTGTGTGTTTGAAACATTTGCTACACTGAATAGCGCTGTGGAGCCAGAAGGGCTTTGTGCTGCCAGCTCCACAGTTAAACAGGGCCTATAAATAGAGCTGTTAATATCCAAGACACAAGAGTCAAGAGGGACCTGAACATGTACAGGTCACTCCTGTAATTAAGAATGAGGTCTTAATTTAACTGGTTGAGTAAGTATTATTTAAACTCTGCAAGATGCATCAAAAAACATGGTGATAAAATCCTATGATCGTTTCAATTTCAGAACTAGTGCAGTGAGGTCATTTGTCAGATGATCTAATTCTTCGTGATTCACACTTGAGCAACAAATGAGTATTAAAAATAGATAAATATAAGTTAAACATTTATAGGAAACAAAACCTCTGATGCTGAACAATATATGCCTAACTCCTATTCACAACACAAAACTAAATAATGTGTCTTAAATATTTGAAAATATACTTAAGATTGTTAAATTCTATTTGGCAATTAAATAGCAGAGCCACACTGTAATTCAGTCAGGAAAACAACAGAACCTGGTAGTCACAATTTTATATTTTTGTCAGCAACAATGCTCTCACAAATATTGCAATGCTTTACAGCACAATATAGTTTATTCATAGTATATATATATATATATATATATATATATATATATATGTATTTATATATATATATATATATATATATATATATATATATGCTCATTACGGTGCTTCAGGAAAACTGAAAACGTGATAATCTCGTGTCAGGTTGGAGTAATGAAGGGAGTAAACAAGCCAACCCTCCCTCTGTAACTTAAACTGGCATGGCCTTATTACATTGTACACACACTTCACCTTAAACTGTGCACTTGCGTGCCCACCCTCCCCCCCCCCCCAAAAAAACACCCCAGTCCTTTGAGGTTATCTAATAGCTGACTTCTGTTCCCCTCGTTCTTTGCTGCTAAATATAGACGTCTGAACCATCTGTGAGAATGATTTTGTTCCCTTAATATCTCCATCAGCAATTCAGCGAGCCAAGAAGTCCCCCCCACCCAAGCCCCCCTCCCTCACACCTTAAAGCTCTCCAGCCCGCTCAATCCCTATTCATACTCCTGACCTCCCCCTCCTCTTCCTCCCCACACGCCCAGCCCTCTGGAAGATCATCTGTCTGTGAGGAGTGGGTTTGTGGGTTTGTACTTCCCGGCTGCAGCTGTACGTATAGGGTCAGAGGCACTGAGGGATTTGTAAACTTGTGATCCATATCACCAGCATTGAGGGTCTCCTCTTCTCTGTTTGGTCACTATAGGACCGTCTCTCCTCAAGAACCCGGTGAGTGGATCCTGCATCCCATCGGTGTGCTTATTGCTACTTAACACAGCTTTTCAAATTCTGGCGACAACCAAAATGCTGAGATGCAATAAAAAAATGTGCAACATGTTCACAATCCTTATTATCCGCATTATGAAGGGGCTTTGAAATGGGAGGGGCCATCAAAAACCTCCTAGAACAGATTATCACTTTGCTTTTGAGGAGAACGTTTTGGATTCCACCTCCACTTTGGATAGAAATCAGGGATTCCTGTTGCAACTTTCTGACTTTCTTGGTACGTCTTAAAAGGACCAAAGGAAAGGGTGAATGTGCTGACCGTCCCGTTTTATATGCTGCTACCAAACACTGACAGGGGGGCGGTAAAGCTGAGCTCTCTGAGAAGTCCCAAAGCCTGTAATTTAACAGCAACTTTCCACGATAACATCCACGACATCTCCGGATCCACCTGCCGTTTTGAGAGCGATTCAAAGCTGCACCTGTTTTCCGGAGGTGTGTATTGTCTCCTCGAGGCTGCAGTGAAAACCCATTTGGTCGTTGAATGACGCCACTTCACGTCACTAAAATGTCTTGGCTGGAAACGTCTTTTAAAAATAGTCGCGGGGGGGGGGTTAAGTTACACTCAGTAGATGTGATGGGATGTTTTGCCACTTAATGAAACGGTTTAAAGCTGAAGCTGCCAACATGTCTAAAGGCAGACAGAATGTAAAATAAACACAAAGGATGAGGTAATAAGTAGAAACATATCTCAGAATAATAAGGCGGCGTAGGCTGAAGGAAAAGTTAATGTGTTTTGCTGACTGACATCCCAACAGAGGAGAGTAATCGCTCCCACTTTGCCCGCCTTCATGTTCCCATGCAGGCTGCAAATTGTGGGAATATGATCGCCTGCTATTTTATGATTCAGAGGCCTTCAACATAACTGCAGTAGAATGGCAGCAGAAAGAGTCGATCGCTATTTTCTCCCTGAACTTCAGCGCCCTTCTGCTCATGTTGACTTGCACATAAGTGGCCCCTAAACAAAACTGAAACATATCATGAGGCTATGCGTTTCCTTCGCTTTCACTCGGGAATGTAGGGAATCCGAGGGCCCCAACATCGCGTTTGAACTTGAAAAATGAGGAGGGTCCATTCTGTCTGTCCTGCGCGTCGGTCCTGTAGATTCACTGTGGGTCGCTGATGTCTCTCGGCGCTCAACGAATCACAGTTTTTTTCAGCTGTGTGCAAATATATCTCGGAGGTGAAGGAAAAAAACACTCCCATCTGTGGATATCGGCTTAGTGTGAACCTGCAGCTCTGCAGATTTACAGTCCTTTTGAAATCATGTGAAATCCTGACATCAAGCAAAACATCCTCAAGTTGCTGCGATTAGTTAACTTCTGAATTACTTACCAAGTTATTTAGATCATGTTTAGAATCCAGCTGCAAATGTTTCCTGGAGTAGTTTGTTTTACTTTATTTCTGTCACTGATGAATGTTCAGTTTGAAATAATGTTAATGTGATGACATTGTGATTCTGACATCTGATTGTGACATCTTCGTCTTTTCTGAACCTTCAGTCATGCCTGTGGGAAGACCTGCCACCACGGCCAAGCGGACAAAGCTCTCCAAGATCGTAACCGATCTATCACATATCGCTCAGGATGGTGAGGCTGAAGGTCCACCAGTGTGAAACTAAATTCACATACACACCAAACATATCAATAGATGTATGATTGGGGATAGATAAGGGAGATGGAAACTAATCGTACAGGAAATATGGAGTTATGCCTTCAGTACAAAATGTACATGATTTTGTGTCGACTTTAGTTGAAATAATTGATGTATTTTGCAGGGTGCACATTTACCACTAAATGTAAGGTGTGAAAACAAAGTAATGAAGCACATAAACATCTGTTATCTCACCACAGACCGCTGGACTAATAAGTAACATTTAGTTTCCACATGAAGACATTTGTTGGTGCGTTCCTTAACTAGAGTATGAGTCGGAGCCAGAGGCTTCGGAGTTTGACCTGGGAACAAAGATCAGGACTCCCAAAGACATCATGCTGGAGGAGCTTTCCCTGATGAAGAACAAAGGCTCCAAGATGTTCAGGATGAGGCAGAAGAGAGTGGAGAGGTTCATCTACGAGAACAACCCCGACATCTTCAGCAGTGAGACTATGGTGAGAGCGCAGTTCATTCAGATATTCCCAAAGGAACTCCATCCTATCACAGTCCTTAATCTGTCTTAATGTATATATATATTTTTTTTATTCACATTATAACGTCCTAAAGCAGCTGTACATTTACTTTGAAGTGTGAAACATGAGTAGAAATAAACTGTCAACATCTGTCATATCTTTCGTGCAACTGTAAGCCAAAATAATCCCAAATATACAGAACCAGTCAAAATGTGCAAACGTGAAACAAAATGCTTGGGTGACACTTGGGAAATGTGTCAAGACGGACAAGCACATGTGATTTGGAGATTTTTTTAAAGTAAACTCATTTTAAATTCTAAATTGATTATATTGATGTTTCTTTCAGGACAACCTCCAGAAGTTTGTCCCCTCTCTGGGAGCTCAGATGGGGGGTGACATGATAAATGTTGGTGGCCATTTCATTAGCAAACAGGTTGGACTGCAGCATTTCGGAGGGCCGGGGGCCGGAAGAGGGCCCCCCGTGCCTCCTCCGAAGCCTGGAAGCAAAGGTGCAGGAGCAGGAGGTGCAGGGGATGCAGGAGGTGCAGGGGGACTGGGTGGGGGCGACCTTGGGAAAGGCGAACAGGGAGAAGGAGCTAGTGAGTGGACCCCACTGAAAGGTTGGTAGCGTCTCTTTCTCCTGTTGTTAGAAGATCCTATTTTCCTTTCCATTCATTTTAAAGCACTGCTGAGGTTTAATTCTCCAGCCGTGAATGCTCTCTGCATAGGAGGTGGAAGTGACGATGCCTCTGGGAAGCTGCTTCTTATGAAGACATACAAGTCGCCCTGGGAGAAGGCCATGAAGGGCGATGAAACCCTCATCGCCACCATGAAAGGAGGAATGCCAGATTTCAACAAAAACGATGCGCTAAAGTACAAATGTTTCAACAGGTACTTCCCTTGAGGCCCGGCGTCACACCAGAGGTGCTTCGTAACACACGCTGGCTTCAGTAATCCTCTCCCCCTGTCTTGCTAGGTCTGCCATGCCCTATGGTGGCTTCGACAAGGCCAACCAGTTCATGAAATTCCAGGTGCCAAAGAGTGAGGCCAAAGAGGAGCCTGAACCAGCGGTGGTGTACCAACCGGACATCGGCTGCCGGCCTTCCTTTAACCGCACTCCCATCGGCTGGGTGTGCAGCGGCGAGCCCGGCACCATCAACATGGAAACAGAAGCTGTGGCTTATGATGGAGAGACTGACGAGCTGTGAAGAAAATAGCCAGAATGTCATCACACACACTGTGCACACGCATGCATACATTAACGTGTGCATACACACAGATGCGGTAGATGAGCTTAGAGTTAACTGTTGGGCTGGTGAATTTGAATTTCTGGATAACTGAAAGCGTGGAGGAGAGGTGGACATGTTCTTGTGTTGCTCTGTTTGCGGTTGTTGTGCTGGGAAACAAGCAGTAGATGCCGATGATGGGATGAAAACATCAAACGTTTGGCTCAAGAGTTAAGTCCAAACACGGAAGTTACAGATTTGGTCAATGAGGAAAGAATGAATCAAGTATGATGGATAGATTTATGCAATGTTATAGCTTTGACAATGTCTTGATGTCAAACCGTTTCCTAGTGCATTTTTGCTGTTAATATTCTGTTTTTACAACACAAACCTGTCTGATTCATTATGCATGCAAAGCATCAGCTACTAATCCATTAACTTACTGTGAAAACACAGTTTCTAAACTATAGGCCGTTTCAAACTGTAACAGTCATCTTGTTAAGTGATTAAACTGTCAAGGGAAATCACTTTGGGTGTGTGAATATCCTTACCATTTTCATTCCCGTTGTTCAAATTAATGAATGTTTTATGAGGTTTGAACATGTCGGAAGTGTCGAGCTATTAGCCAGCTCTTTTATTATATCGGGGTATGAAGTTATATTACATATATTTTCCTTTAAAGAAATTATGCATAAATACATTTTTTTTAATCTACTAATCTATTATGGTTTGTCATATCAACCTAGCAAGTACCATCCATACATTCATATTTTTCAGCAAATTTCCTAGTAGAATGTTGTGTGTGTATATATATATATATATATATATATATATATATATATATATGGTCTTCCCTGCCTGACATGTAGAGACGCTCCCGCGCCGCTGGGGGCAGTGACGCTCCAGAAAGTTGTCGGCCAGTTCTCACCAATAAAATAAGAAAGAAGAAGAAGAATTCAATACCTTTTAATGTTGGACGCTTTACTAACGACATGAACGTTAGTAAGCGTCCCAAGCGCTGTCGTTCAGTGCAGTCTACAAGTTACCGCATCGCCGAGGACACCCGCACTGCGTTATTCGGTAAAACTGCGACTCTTTCGAACGATTAACTAACGTTAGCTTAGCAAACGTTAGCTAACTGCCATTTGATCAGGATGGCTGCGAAAGTTTTCAGATGAACCAACAACGTGTGAATTAATAAACAAATAATAAAATCAACTCGAATACACCGTTTTGGCGCTAGTGTTTTTGTCTTAATATCAAATGATGAAACAACTTGTAAGAAGCTTAACGATAATAGCTGACGTAGCTAGTTTGGTCACCGCGTACGGTAGCCATCGATCGACGCTTAACGTTACTTTTGCAGCGCCCGTCGGAACTTCCGGAACTCCGGGCTCAGTGTTGCCTAGCAACAGCAGTGAAGGCTCCTCGCCAACCTCACTGTGACGTCGTTCCAGTCGTACGGTAAACGCAGGCAGACATTATCTGACGTTACCTTACGTCAACAGCAAATGGTGCTAACAGCAACAACTGCAATATACGATACATTCATATTTAGTTTAATTTATTAAACGATTTCTTGTGGTTATTTCCCTAAAATTACATTTTAGGAAAGCAAACAAAAGTATTTTCTGTGTCACTCCATCGGTTATATTTGGATTAAATCTGATTTAATCTGAAGATCAGTTCTGTAACAAATTGCCACTCACAGAGCTGCTTTTGTTTTTTGCTTCTTTTCAGGTGTCCTATAGCACAGGGACTTTGCCAGATGGCATCCACCAAATCAAAGGGCCAGTTGGCCCCCCTGCCATGGGCAGAGATGCTCGCATATTGGGTGCTGTCCTTTGGCGCGCACCTGTACTCTTTCTACCAACTACACATATTCTCCAAAGGTAAAGATTTATATCTAGTTCCGTCGTTAAGTGTATCGAGAAGAAAGGGTCAAGAAAAAATGAAGCTGTTGTTTCCCGTTTCTTACCTCAGCGCATGAAGCAGGCTTAGAGAGAGAATTCCAGTTGGAAAAAGGCCTCGTAAAGGGTTTTAAAAGGGTAAGTTCAATGTTGATACTACTGATTAAAACCAATCTGGTCCAAATTGAAGCTTTATTAGAGACTTGAACAAGCTTTACAGTTTTCAAATGTTTTGAAAAATGAAAATGAGGCTCTTCATCCCATTTTGACCATTCAAAGAGCCCTTTCAACAGGCTTCAGGTGCGATTTTTAAGGCCCCATGGTTGAAGTTAGTTGTCTTTTTTCAGGATCCATCAGACTTTGAGTGGACTTTCTGGACAGAATGGGCTAAGAAGTCTTTGCTGTGGACCCTTGCTGGTCATGGCGTGATTTCTAGATTGACCAGCATCTTTTACCCAAAGGTAGGAAGCCGCTGCTACAGTACGGTTGAGTGAAACATTGCTACCAGGTGGGAGGAGTTTTGATCCAAGTTGTGTTTTTGGTACCTGTCACAGTTGAGGGTGCCAGCACTCACGATTTATGGCTTCTTGGCTGCCAGCAGTGTGCTGGGGATCAGAGGTGTGAGCGTGCTGCTGGTACATCTGGGCTTGTCCTTCTCAGTGGCCCTACTGCAAAAGTCAGCGCTGTCATGGGCCACCAACCTGCTGCTGCTCTCCACACTTCACATCCGGCCGCTTCAAGAGATCCAGGTGGGTCAGATCACCCGCGTTATACTGGTTCCTGTTTTAGTTTGGGGGCTTTTACCTTGCATTAAAAGCACAGAACTAAAATATGTTTTATAGGAAGTAAAATACATTATCAGCAGGCAAAATGTTATAGATTCAGGGGGGAAAAGTGACTGCATCGCCACTATATATCTATTTGCATAAAATATCTATGTATGAATTTAACATTTTTTGACCATATTGCGTTATTTTTTCACTTACTATTTGATTATCACTTAAAGCTATATTTGTAAAGAACACAAGGGGGCACACAATACCAACAACCACTCAGCTGCATTATTTTATGTCGCTACCACAGATAGAAGTTGGGTTCATTTTATTGAGGCATTTACATACCAAGCTTGTTATTTCCAGTATCTCCTGAGTATTACAGAATTTAATGCGGTGAAAATGAGAGAATTACAAAAAGAGTGAGATGTTTCAATAAACTGTATTTTCTTTAAAGCAAAATGATTAAGTGTGTAAATAAGCTTCAGCTACAATTGTTGGAAATCTGACTTTGATAAGTAGAATAGAAATAGAAATAGATTGCACATGTAATGTATTGACACATTTTTATGACTGATTGACAAAATAAGCTGTTAATGCTCTCATTTAAATGTGTCAAAATATAAAGAAAGAGTGATTAAAAAAAAAAGGGGCACTGTAGCAATGTTTGATTGTAACTATTATTATAAAAGGTTTTCCCCAGGAATGTGTTAAAAGCAATTGACCCGCTCTCTGCATTAGAGGGGCTGGTATAAGACCGAGGAGGAGTACTACCTGCTGCTCTTCAGCGTGGCCGTCTGTGGTCTACGCTTCATCAGCTTCAGCCTGGAGCGTTGCTGGAGCCCCGGAGAGCGGCGTGGAGCGCTGGAGCTCTGCTGGTTGTTGTCGTACACCTTCTACCACCCTTTCTTCTTCAACGGACCCGTCGTTACGTACCCAGATTACATTGAGCAGGTAAGACGGCCAGCGATGCAGTTTAGTCTGAAAGTCCCTGTGTTATTGTCTAGAGGAGGCTGACTGCTGTTCTTAAGTACAGCTGATCTCAGGTGACCTTATCGTTGTGAAGCTACAGCAAGCAGCCCTTAACAAAAGCCTCACTTTTTCACACTTGCAGATGCAGAGGTCATCGGAGGAGTGTGACGGAGACCAATCTCTTTTTACTTACTTAGTGCTCAGATTAGGACGGATCATTTTGTGGTGGTGCACCGCAGAATACCTGATCCACGTAATGTACATGCACTGCATCCAGTCTAATGAGACCTACTTAGAAATCCTTCCCCCCTGGGCCTTGGGTAAGTCTTTGAACTCTGTTCTATACAGTATATTGTAGATTTTTAGACGCACTCTGAACGCTGAATTCCTACAGGACACTGAGAAAGTAAAGTTCTCTGAGAATTTTTTTGAAAACTTTTTAGTTCTTTGCGAATCAATTAATTATCTGTCATTTACTCACCAATCCAAGCTTCCCATAAGTTGACAAAAGCACAGATGGAAACTGAATTATTATTTTCTTTTTATGCCATCTTGCTCAACTTTTTAAAACGTTTTTTGGTTGGAGGCACCAACAAAGACAAAGGGTGTTGTAAGCAGTGCACATCAGGAAGACCTGTGTATATTTATTACTTAGGCCATATAAATAAAAACCATAAGTAAGTTACAACACAGGGGAGTTGTTTTTGCAAATCAAAGATGTTCAGCATTAAAATGAGAAATGTTTCTTTGACCTCCTCTTGCTGGTGTTGCAGGAGGTCTGGCGCTGGCGCTCGTCCAGTTCTTCTTTCTGAAGTACCTGGTGCTGTTTGGCCTTCCGTCCACGCTGGCTACTTTGGATAAGCTGGTTCCCCCGAAGCTTCCCCGTTGTGTCAGCATCATGTACAGTTTCACCGGCATGTGGAGGTGAGCTAATGCGGTGCAACAAATGACCGTTAACACCCCCCGATAAATAAAGTATGGCATTGGCTTGATAGCGTTCCTTAACACGTCAATGGCGGGTAAAGACCGCTTCGCTGTTACTGTTGAACAAAGGGTTAATATAATGTCAAGTGCCATAAGTGCTCGGTGTGCTTTGGCCTCATGACTCAGGCCGGGTACAGCGGATTGTCTCATCTTCTGTCGGCCAATGAGAATGACAGGTCACCTCTGCTCCAGAGACATTATATCGTTACTTCAGGCTCGAGTGGTTTCTTTGCTGTCAGCATCCTTCATTTACAGTAGCACAGTCACTGCTTGAGGAACGAAGTCAATCTGAAAAACAAAACAAAACCTGCGTTATTTGATCTGTCAAATACCGACGCTTAAGTATATAACACCATTCATTTTTTATTTCAATCCGGAGAGACTTGTTGAAATTTGAACCATGCTTTATTATAACAGGCATAATATGATATTGCAAGTTGTTTGGGGCTCGGACTCCATCCTGCCGCAGGATAGACCCGGGGCCGGGATCTCGAGACGAGACGAGGCATATCCCCCCCTTTGGGAGTCCAGACACTGGTGGTGGTGGTCGTAGAGCCAAAGTTGCATAACTCTCCTGCTATGCCAGGTTCTGCTGTAGATTGGAGGTGTCCGGGGTGGTGGCGGGTCACCTTTGCAGCGTGCTGAAATGACAACTGACAGCACAAGAGAGGAGAACGGTTTTTAACGTTTGCCTGCATCAATGCGATTGGTTTACGGTAACAACACCCACGTCTGATACTACCCGCCCCCGCCCCTAATCAGCTGGCCGTGCGCCCCCAGGGAGAGAGGAGGCCACCAGGGAACGGCGCAGCCTGTCCAGTCTTCCTGACTGAATTCTCGCCGAAGCTTCATTTCTCAGTTGTAGTCAGTAATGGTATAGCGTGCAGATGTGGGGGCTAGACAGGATAATACTTCACTCTAAGATTATTTTAAAAAGTAGAAATAACCCAGAGAGCTTTCAGCCCCTGCTGCTAAATTACACAAAGGAAACCCAAACCATCTAATAAATACCTATTCAAACTACTTACTAATCAACATAAATTCAATTTCAATCAAAGTCTCTCTCTCACAAAATGTCCATTACATCAACGGACACCCATTCATAAGCCTGATGTGAAAATCAAATGGCCCCTAATTAGATAAACTGTCCAAAGAGACAACGAGCAGGACGAGGGGCAAGAATAGATGCAATTAGGCTGCGCGCACAAGGTGGACCATGAGTTCTGCACATCAACCCGAGGCTGGAAAATACGACACGGCGAGTCGCAAGAAAGAAGACTATTCCTAGGATGTGTAAAGAAAGCCCACGGACGTATCCAAGCAGGTTGAGGAGGTAGTGAATCATCCCAACGCTCTGCAGGGATCAGCGCACTTCCTGCAGCACATTGTCGCACAGCAAAGTCCAGGAAACGCAGCCAACTCCCACTCGCTCACTATCATGTTTTTCTTTTTGATCCTTTTTCGATTCTCTCCCACTTTTTGTTGTTCCCCCCCCTGTGCTACGGTCAGTTCTCAGTTTATCCATTGAAGTAAATGTCTTGACTATTGACTGACTATTGACGTTCAATAAGCTCACCTCAGGAAAGACTATGCCGGGTTTATGCTGAAGGGGTCACAATTGCTCAGGATAAATGAACGCAGGCATTGCAGTGCTTGTCGGTTGGGAATATGCCACAATAATCAGCAAGACCTCAAAGTTCGGAGGCCAAAGGCAACATTCCCATTTATATGAAGGTTATATTGTTGTTGATGATTGGAAGTTGCAGTTTGTGGTGCTGTTGAGCTGTATTACATCATACTAACTGCTGTTTGTCCACCACAATAATATAAGTATAAGAGGACGCAACATAACAGAAACATCTCTCTGTATAATGAGACAATATCCAAAACAATGGTAAAGTTAAAGGCTATATTACTTTAATCTTAATTAAAAGGTTCCATTCATTCTATTGCAAGCCGTAGACCGAATGGACCAATGTGCTGACGCCGATGCACTCCAATCCGGCCGGTGCGTGCTGAGCTGGCTGATGTTGACAACATTGATGGAATGCATAAAGCTGTCCGCTGACATCACTCGCGTAACGGCGTCAGTTTACAGGCAGCACAACAAAAAAACTGGGGCTAAAAAAACCCTTTTCTAATCTTCTAAGGACAAAGACCCGCACACACACATACTGCATATGAAGCCCACGGCTCGGGGGGTTCTCACACCGCGCTGTGTTATTATGTAAATCTGTGACTCAATATTCATTTCTTTCTCTTTTTTTTTTTTGTTCTCTCTCAGGCACTTTGACGAGGGCCTGTATCGATGGCTCATCAGGTAAGAGGCACTTCATGAGCAGAGGACAGACTAATTCAGATGTTAATGCTTACTAAAAATGTGAAATGTCATCTAAATCAAATAATAACTAGAATATCCATCGGTCCGTCTATCTATCTATTAGATTTTATCTATTAAGTCCACCAATCTACTTCTCTGTCTGTCTATCGGCCTGTCCCATCTATCCAATCTATTATATCTCTGTCTATCTCTCTGCCCACCGCAGCTATATATATATATATATATATATATATATATATATATATATATATAGATTCACATCTATTTATAGTCCTCACTGTCTCGTATTTTGAACGGCGTTCCGTGTGTTTATTCAACCTTATATCTGTTAGTCTTTGGACACCCACTTAGTGTAAAAAGCGCATTTCCTGCAGGCCAACGAACTTGTCAGTTGAATAACCTTAAAAAAAAGGTGCCGTTCTCCAGCTGCTGCCCCACACGTTTCATCACAATGGACGAGGATGCTGCATTTGCATGTAGGCTTTCTCATGATTATGAGGTGGGATGTCGTTGGTGAATAGTTCTTCTGTTGTGTTACCCCTTGTTCAATATGTGCATATGCAATGGGACATTACGTGCCGGCTCGCTTGCACTTTGGACGACGTACATTATCGGTTTGTATGCTTTTTAATGATGCACACTTGGCTGCATGCCGCCCATCGGGAGGTTACGGTCCGCCTGGTAGACGCAGGCTGCTACATTAAGGCGACGCTGCAGTCGCGCTGCTGTCAGAAAGCACACTGACATCCAGTGAAAGATGCTCCCTTGTCCTGGTTCTTGTTTGCTAATTAGTTTTTGCGTTGACACGTATGATGGCGTGCATGCTTTTCAGGTGTAGAAGATTAGTGCAGAATGACGTTTGACTGGTTTGGAGACGCATAAAGAAGCTCCAATTCATTTGATAAAGGTAGCAGATTGGAAAGGTACAGTTCACAGCCAAATCAAAAGATATATATTTTTCCTTACCCAACCTCAAACTACCCAACCTCCAATAAAGTGGGACTAGATGTCACGAAGCTCAAAGCGCCAAAAAAACAGCAAACGTCTCTTTTCCCAAAATCAATTTCATATGGGGACCATGGTCGAAACAACATAATTGTACCTTAACATTTCTAAATGCTAGTTGCCATTTTAATCCTTGTCCATCGAGAACCTTTCCCCCTGCCTAATGGCATCGCTTGCAATTATCCCAGCGCGGATGCGGAATGATACCCGCGACACAAAGCCCCGACGTTCCTTCTCGCCAAAGTGCCTTTAAAGAGGTTTTAATGCAGTTCTGAAATTCTGTTGAAACGGTCTGAAGAGCGCTGGATGAGTGCGTAGGTGTTAAATGATGTACTCGGCATGACACCCCGTCTCCCTGAGCGGCTAAGTGGCTCATTCTTAAGCATTACATTACGCCGCCCCGGCCTGTGTGCCGCCGTGTCGCAGGTTGTCTGTTTCGTAGTTACCAGCCAACAAAAGAGCTCCCACTGGTTGTTTGATGGAGTTTGATGGAGGGGGGGGGGGGCATTTACTCACAGAATCATGGGGGAAAACCTTTGGAAATATTATTAATAGAATAATGTACAAACGTGTGTGTTTGTGTTGCCAAGCAGTCCAATTCCTGTCTTTAAATCTGCTGTGCATGTTGTCTGCACCATCTGCTGTCAGTATATGGGTGGTGCGCACCACGCGCATCACGCGTGTGCACATCATTATATGCCCCGCAGTGAGATATTTCGAAAAAAATCATCGAAAACGCCGGATTCCGCCCCGGGGGGGGGGGGGGTGGGGGTTTCAGGTTTTCTGTTTGGCTCTCCCTCGGGTTCCTCTCCACCGGTTTCGGCACCTTTTCCCCCCCACCCCCACCGCCCCCCCCCCCCCAATACGGCCAAGCCGGGCACTCTATTTAAGGCTCTGAAAATGCTGGCTCATCTTTCAGAAACATTGATTATCCGCAGGGTGGCCGAGATAATTAGCTCCCAGCTCAGCAACGGCAGAGAGAGCGCGTGTTTGTTTGCTTCTAAGCGTGTTGGAGCGATGTAGCATGTTTGAGACTCTCCCCGGGGGGGGGCCACGAGGCTCGCGTGAAATCTGAGACCATTGTTCTTCACGCCATGCACCACAGAGGGATCTCTGGGATGTATTATTCAACTCATGTACGGTATCGCGTGAATATGCAGCTGCTATTTTTATGACGCATGAGGTGTAATCTCATTCAATCCACAGTGGAATTAAATGCAAGTGCTTTTTTGGGGGAATCAGACATTTTGCCAAACAACAAAACAGAACAGGACAGGAGCTCCCTGAAGTGGTGGGAAAGAAAAGTTAACTGTGCGTCAAGGTCTTGGTGCGGAATAATTCAGCTGATTACAGCATCCACATGACAAATACGTACATGTGATCATGTAGGTTTAGTTTGTCATAAACTCCTTCCTGATGTTTTGCTGGTTCTTTGGTTTCACGTTGCAGATACATCTACGTGCCGTTGGGGGGTTCCCGGCACGGTCATCTCTACAAGATGTTGTCGACCGGCCTGGCGTTCGGCTTCGTCTGCCTCTGGCACGGCGGCCATGACTACTTGCAGTACTGGGCCCTGATGAACTGGGCCGGAGTTCTGGTGGAAAACGGACTCAAGTCTCTATTTGCCTCGTCGGTAATTCGCTCCGTTGTTGTAAGTTTGATCTCCAAATCCAATTTGTCTCTGACATTGGCAAAAGGACATAATCCTCTGGTTATTCCACCAATTGGATCTTCGGTTGTGTGGAGATGATGAAATCTTTCTTTTAGCTGGAAATTAAGGGCTCACGTAATCCGATTTAATAAGAGATGACGCTTGGCGCCGCTGCAGGAAATACAGACAGGAAACAAACCGTTTGGATCCTTTCACATCTCATTGGCACGTACAGTTAAGGACCAACATTAATGTGAGCGAAAGTATATTATATTATACTCATTCTGTGTACTTCGGAAGAAGGCTCATGTTCTCAAAATAGTAATAAAGTGTGACGGCAGACTGTGTAATCCCTTCCGGTTTGTGGCCACAGTTCATTAGCGCCAGGTGCTTTGCTGCTCTTTGTCTCTCAGAGTTCTTTATTTGCTGATTTCCCAGGAGCAGAATGTCTCCGCTGCGATGGAGAGGCGCTGCGTCGGCCTTCTCTGCGCCGTCTCCACCGCCATGCTCATCCTCTCTAACCTGGTGTTTCTTGGCGGGACACACGTTGGCAGAGTCTTCTGGAAGCGCGTCTTCATTCAAGGTAAACTGTTCTCCACAGCGCGCTTTTCGTGAGTTCGTTTCGGCTTTAGAGTTAAAGAGCGAGATCAACTCATGCAGGTCAAATCGTGAATAGCATAGAATAAAGTGCTGTATATATGGCAGTTTTTTCAGGGGATGTTGAGGTTATCAAATATTATAATGTATTTATAAAACACTTTTACATCACAATGTTTAGAAAGCACAAAGACAAAGAAGAAGTTGATCATACAAACAATTCTAAAAAACAGCAATAGCAATATACATAGAATTAAAATAAAAACAGCAACAATTGAAACAAAAATAAAGTAAAACAAATGGTGAGAAGGTAAAGACTAGACTGTAAAAAGAGGTCACACTGGGCCATGTGATGCATCTGGATGGGCAATCTCTCCCCAACAGAGAGACATCTGCTTTGTGGCTTTCAGCCTGTTTTCTCTCCCTGTCTTTTATTTGGCTCATTTGGTACCTAAAGCAAGATGGCAGCGCCTCCTGAAAGCCTGTCTGCTGATGATAAGAGGTGGGCGCAGAGTCAGGACCTCGAGCTGAAAATTCCTATAATATAAATATATATTGCACTTTTAATTACTGTTCATTTGAAATGCAAGAGTTTACACATTTTTAAAGCATCATTAGGTTTTTTTTGACCACTTGGAACCAAGCTTTGCAAACTAGAGAGATATGATTTTCGACCGTTGGTGTTAGCGTTGCCTGCTTTTACATGCAGCAGATCCAGAACCACATCGGCATCTGTCTTCCCTCAATGGCACCAATATTAACGTCACAAGTGAAGCTTCACTGCTTTATTGTGACAGGAAAATAAAGGTGGGCAAGCTCGCAGTAAATTGTGTTCAGGATTATTCCTTTTGTGGCATAACAAAGTTGAGAGGAGCTAAAACTAAAAGAAGGGTGTTTTAAAATTTAAAATTTCAGTTGTGAATTATTCAGTCAGGCTTAGAAGCCAAACAGAGAAACTCAGCTGGCCTTCATAAAAGTTCAATCATATATATAATAGTAAAAAAAAACACATGACATGGCACCAATGCTTGATTAAGATGTTGAAAAAGCCCATTGAACAAACACTTGATCATTTAGTTGCCGGTGTTGTGGTTTTGTACTTTATGTTGAGATGGAATGGATCCACCAGAAAGGCCTGAGGCGGCTCCCTGTGTGTGTGCATGTGTGTGCACTATAAACCATCGTAGAGGGGCTGCGGTTTGCTTCATTAGCATGAAATCGATGCTTTTAAATCAGCCTGCCTGTTTGTTTTTTTTTACTGGCGGTGTAATCTCACTCTTTGACCTACGCGGTGAAACAAAGAATAATCCCTGTTCACGCGGTTGTGTTACACACACATTATCGTGGCGTGTAGTTGTCTTCAAGAGCCTTCCAATAGTATTTTTCTTTCTAGATGCCATGGAGGCAAAACCAGTAGACACTGTGTGTTATTTGGAATGAGAAGTCCTTCAGTAGAATCTAAAGTGCACTTTTATTGCTTAGGCCATCAATTAACTTAGATTTGGTCGCCGGTAGCATCACGCTATGGCTCTGCAAGGCCGTCCTTGGACAATGTTTTTTGGGTAAATGCTGACGTAGGCGGACCTGCGTGCTCACTGTTACTGAGATGAGGCTGTTCAGCAGGTTTAGTTACTGCACAGCTTGTAAGAATGCAAGTCATCCTCAGCACTTCAGCTGAGGATGACTTGCATTAGTTTTGCGTTGGACGAACCACAGTTTTAAGCCTGATTGGATGAAAAGTCGGGGGTCAGCTCAGGGGAACTAAAACGTCCAAATTTCAACGCAATCCAATTTGTCAATATTTCAGTCTGGACCAAAGAGAGACAGAAAGGCCGAGCTTTCCCCAGAGCGACGCCACTAGCACGGCTAAAAAATACGACACATTTTCTACTTTGCTGACTCAAAGTGTTACGTAGCCAGAGACACCGAAAAGGAAGTCAACCAACAACTTGTCAGAATACTTCATTTTCACAAAGCTATTATATATTTTGTTTTGAGTTGCCTTCTGTTAAGATCCAGCTCAATTAAACACAACGTACTAATCAAGCTGCAAAACAAACTGTGGTGTAATAATACCACTGGTTGATTACACTCTCTCTGCCAGGACGCGGTGTGAAGGAGCAACAACTGTTGCTTCTCTGTTGTGCTTTCCGCTTAGTTAGTAACAGCAAAGGTCAGACTCCCGGTTGGGGAATTTATTTCACGCTGAGGGCTTTAATGAAATTTACATAAGAGCGAAGACAAAGCGGCGGGACGTCATGAACCTGCGAAGCTTGCTTGTGGTGCACGCAGGGCCCCGAGCTGAAAAAGCTTTGCGCGGTGGGAATGCATCATGTTTGCAATTGCTCACGAAGCATTCGTTATGTGGTTAAACCAACATTAATAATCAGCCGGCATTTACGGGAAATTATGCTCATTTTCCGCAAACGACACGTCACCGCGGCATAAATATTTCATCAGTGTATTCTAGCAGAAGCCCATGTTCCTTTTCTCCTCTGCAGGCAGGGAAACGGACAGTACAGCTGTGCATAAAACAGCCTGTGAGTGTGTGTGTGTGTGTGTGGGTCATTTTGACATGAATGGGAAAGAATAGAGCATTGAAAAGCATTGTTGGTGCAGGTGCAAGTTACTGAGATAATCTGGAGGCAAGCCAGTTGGGGAGGAGGTGCAGACCGCTGTCCTCACCTGCCTGCTCGGCCCTCTAAGACACGGCTATAAATAGAAGAGGAGAGTAACTGGCAACACGACGCGGCTCAGCAGAGAAGCATCAGCACGTAGCCGTGTAAATGTCTCCAGTTTGCAGATGAATACACCGGCTGTCTTTGCTCCTCAGGCTGGTCCACCGTCGCTCCGCCTATGCTGGCTTTCCTCTACTGCTTCGCTCAGATCGGACTCCAGTGGACTTCTCACCCGCCATGAGTCACCTTGACGTTTGCCCGCCTGCCCACCGGACGACCAGAACAACCTGCTGGGTCCGGGTTCCTCGTCGCCGGGCCAACCGGGCTCAGCGCCACGGAGCCCGTCCAGACCTGGCCGAGGTGCAGCTGAGCGGCCACTTTTCCACCGCCTGCAAAATGTGCCTGTGAGCTCGGACTTAGAGGATCAGTGCCGATTCCTCTCGAAGGAGGGAGCACGCAAACTGTAATACAATGAAACCCAGTCACCGATAATTCTACCCGACAAGATTCAGGGAATCACGCTAATCTTATTCCAAGAAATAGTAAAAAATCCGGCCTCTGTTATATATGACTCTGATAAAGTATTGCTCAGTGGTGCATTAAGCCGGAGAAATGCGAATTTCACATTTACTGGCCTCCTTTAGCTCCCCACAGAAGCATTTGGGTCGGTACTTTGCAGTACAGATGCAAAAGTAGAAGAAACACACTTACTTTTCCTTTAGCATATTGATAATAATTGACATTTATCAACTAGAACGACTGTCAAGAAAACACATGAGTTGTTTGTTTTGTGCTATTTTGTTCTAATATAATGCCTCATATCTCCAAAACGTCAACTGACACGTTTGGATAAAAAAACTTTTATTTCATGTTTACTGGTTATAAATACGCATCCATGTTATAATGGATAACCTTGTTGTACCTGCTGTAATGAGTCATTCAGCTTCTCGGCTCCATGCCTTCAGGTCTAGATGGTTTTTGGATGTATTGAGACACTTAAAACTCTTCCAATTCAAGAAGAGTTTCATTTTCCAATTATGACTTTTTTGAAGAGTTGTAAAGGTTGATCATTGATAAAACGTGTTTTGTACAATAAGAGACGCAGAAGGATAAATTACACAAGGCCATACTTAGTGGGATTAATTCAATTGAGTTTGTTGTTTTTATTGTCATCGGATTCATTGACAATAAAAATAGCAATTATCATGAGACGTTTCCTTTAAGAGATTCCAGAGAGGAACTGAAGCGAGATAACTTTTCACATGACAACTAGCTTTAGTGGTTAGTTATTTCACCAATTAGTTGATTAATAGGGAATTCATGGTTAAATATTTGGAAAATGAATTCATTGTTTTGTTTTGAGTCATCAGGTTGATAGTCACATGACCCGATCGAAGCTTTTATATCGTAAGTTTATTCCCACAAAGAGACATGAGAAACAGCTCATAGCGATAAGTTACACTCTTTAGATCTCTGTCATTTACATTTCAGAACACAATTAATCCAGTTTAATTGTGTCATAAGTTTAATTCTCAAGACAAAGTGAAAGGAAGCTACTTTAAAAAGCTTAACGTGCTTCTTCTTTGTCCTTCGAGCTTAGAAAGTGTTGTGTGGCAAAAAACCCATCTGATCCTCTTACTGCTCACAGGGCGCAGAGCAATCATCTGCAGGGCTTCCAGGGAGATTAGTTCAGCAGAGAATGAAGTCACAGGTCTCACCGTCATCAACATAAAACGTTGCCGTTGTTGTCGTACGGTCGTTTATTGTAGCTTCACAAGAACCGACCGTTGGCAAAGGTTTCAAACTGATCTGTTTAATATGAAGAGGTGTCATTTTTATCCTTTTTGCCGTCCCGATGCGTAACCGCAGCGGGGAGTTGTTTTGTGGTGAGCCCCGAGTGTCTCCTTTAGTTAATTTCTGTTCCTCGGGATTATCGCATCGGCGGCACCTGAGCAGGATCAACGGGGGTCAGCGAGGAATCCGCTTAAATGAGGAGCAGAACTGTGGTTTATCTGACGTGAGAAGATCAGCAGGAGAATAAACCTGCCGAGTTGCACTTTCTCAATGAAGTCCATTCATCTGAAGGCATTCCCCCAAGAGAACAGGCAGAACCGTATGTATAAAATATTTATTATCAATAGTACAGTATGTCACAGTTCATAACAAAGAGAACCCGTTGTGCTTGAAATAAGTTACATTTCTCATCATTTGTGTAACGTGTGTGAACAAAGAGGCATGTGCATATTACGTAAATACACGAATCCAAACTGTTCTCTTTGAGAATCTAAACATTGCAATATAATGTGTGCATATATATGTATAAAGAGAGGGGGGGAGGGATATTGTAGTTTTATAACCAGGCAGCATTCTAGAGCCGACCACAAAAAGTAATTAGAGTGTTTCTCACGGCGGGCCGTTAAAAGGATTACGGGGCGATATTATGAAGGCACAGTGTTGCATGCTTCTCAGTAGCAATCACAGGGTAACTGCTAGTAATATTAAGGTAAATGTAATGAAGGGGTTGTGCAATACTACAGAAGGATTCTTCTAACATTCCTCTAACATTCGCCTGTTCTTCTCAGATATTTCTATCGCACCATTTGGATCTTTTGTTTATGAATTTTACAGCACAGAACTTCATATTGCTTTCAAGGATCTCGTCTCTGAGTTTTAGAGTGCACCTGCAGCACGTCCCATTTTAGTAACGTATATTTCTGGTGTTGGTGAAAATAAAGCCGGCGTAGGTGAGAGTGCCTCCACATGCCTGTGTCTTTGTTGTTAGGCTGCATTCAAACAGTGGCACCAAAGTCATTTTACTGATTTATAGTAAAGTCAGAAACTAAGCAAACAAAAATACAATTGTACATTGATCGTTTAACAAAATGAGCAAAACCGTACAGCAGCAACAAAATAAAAAAAAAAGCTTAGTTCATAGTTTTTTTCATTCAAAGTGAAGGTTTAAAAATACTTTTTCAAATATTACCAATTTTGTCATTCATCTGTGTCATTGGTGAAGGGAAATGGGTGTAACAATATTCCACCATAAGTAACTACAAAGGGAAACAATTCAGTTGTCATCCATTGAAAAATATTTGACATGCATGTATAGAATTGTTCAGTCACATAAACATTAAAAATGACAAACAGCACCTCATTGTAATCATTAAATGTTAGTGCGGGCTAAAACCTTTTTTCGTTTGTTTTAATTTATTTCATGTTCAAAGATTTAACGCCACGTCACTTGACGTGTGACCTTGAGCTCGCATGCACACTCCAGACTGAAGCTTCTCTCGTTAAAACAAACAAACCGACCCAACGTCAGCACAAATGAAATTGTTGCAACAGTTCAGCATTCACTTTATTAGATAAGGTCTACGCCACCCTCACGTCCGCTTTACATGGCGCCAGAAGCTTAGCTTAGCATGAAACCAGGAAGAGGTGGTATACGGATCGCGAAGCTCCGAATGAATTTAAAAAATCTTTTATATTTCAGATTAAACGAATGAGATGTGTGAGATGAACACGACCACAGAAGAAAAGGGCCAATCTTCCAGGGATTAGGCTAAACAATGCTGATCACTACACAACCTTTGGACACATCGCGTACGTCAGTGTCGGGTCGGAGCCTCAAACCCGCTCAGTGGTCATAAAAGTAGCCAGAATCCTAAAATTCAGAAGTCTATTTAAGTCTTTTGGGTGATGTGATATTAAAATGTAAAAAGTCACCAGAGTAAGAAGAGATTAGAGCAGGTTTCCACCACAGAGCTTCGATGTCGTCGTAGATCGAGACTGCGATTAAGACTCGATGCCGTCCGTCCATTTTTCCGCCGTCAGTTTGATTTCAGAACTACTTTCTCACGTGTGAACAGCCGGTTTATGAAGCCTCCGTGATGGAGAGGTCATGGGTGATTTTAGTGCTCCCCCCCCCCCCCCAGAGTCACAATCTTTGTCAAAAAAACAGACCCATAAAAGACCCACAGCCACCGGCGTAAACAAAATGATTTCTCACTTCTGTGATGACTTGCCCATTTATTTTTAAGTAAGCTGAATGTTTGATGAAAATGGAGGCGCAGAACTCGTGGGCCGTCTGTGTCTCAGCTCGTCTCTGTACTTGATAAGAGGAAAGGCGCGCAGGCAGCACGAATTACCATCATCAATAATAAATTATATGGAATGATGGTTATTTTTGTTCCATGTAAAAGACTGTATACTTTCTGGATTTTATAACACTGCCTAAAAAAAACGTTACATTTACCGAGTTACTTCCGTTCTTACTTCCCAGCGTTTTTAAGGAGCCTCAAATGATTGTTTATGTTAACAGCTAATAATGCATAGTTATTGCTTGATGACAGAACTGCTTCATTTGATGGTTTCTGCATCTGCTTCTGTGGACTTATTAGGGTTCTTAAGCACATTTCCTCATTCGTATCGTTCTATCCTCGGTACTGATGCCTTTTCTCTGTTGTGTTTCCAATATATTACTAATTTAATTACAAAGATCCAAATCAACCCTCATCTGAAATATTTTTTTGAAACACTAACATTTTGTTAGTGTGTAAGTATGTTGTTCTTTAAATAAAATGTTAGAAGAAAAATGAATTGTTTAACAAACTTATTTTCTGATTTTTAAGTCATTCATTTGAATGGGATTAGCTGTGTTATTACAGACAAAACACATTAACCATGCATTCCAACTGGCGTAGTATAAAAATGTACCTCGGTGGCCATAAAAGTTAAAATAATCCCTCAAACAAGTTCCAGTGACTATATAGGTCTGTTGACACAAACCACTAAAACTTTAATTATCAATACAGTTTATTTTTAGAAAGACTGTGCAAAAGGGCATTCATTAATATGTTCTTGACTCTTATTATCAGTACCATCTGCATCACCTAGTTATGCATAACCAAAGCCAAGACCCCTTCAATATGTATCATACAAATGTATCACGTGTGTAGGTGGCGTTTAAATGTGTGTATAACAAAATGATAGATGTCTAGAAAGAAGGGTAACTTGCTCATCTCAAGCCCATCCATCCATATCTGATTGCTTGGGCAGAGTTGAATAATTAAGAATGATCCTGGCAGTCGATATAATAAGAAGAGTTCGTCAATTGCCTGAAGGAAATTACTCCGAGACGGTGTCGTCGTCTGGAAAGCCCGTCCTTTCCCGCTGTCACGGTGAAATAACGACATTGCCGCGTGGCCTCAAATCGATCGAATATGCACAATCTGCATTTTGTGTGACATGCAAAGAATCTCATACAAACGATTCATCACAAACCAGTGGGTCATGCTGTTTCCATTCTCTTCCCAACAGAGATACAACAGTGTCCTTCCGTCATCGCGCTCTCTGAAATCGAGATTAAAAAAAACAAACCGCTCAAGCAATTTTTCCATTGAAGTGCGAAACTCCAAATGTATGTACAGACGGAAAGAGCTGTCAGCGTTCAGTGTCACGACCTCGACCTCCCCGTGCCGACGGACAGGTACACCCGTGTGATGAAGGCCGGTGCGTCTTTAAGACCACGCTGTCGCCTAATCTAAAAGGTGCACCCGATGCCGCCTCGGCTCTCCAGGCAATCTGGATACCAGCTTAGTGCGCGGTTAACCTGACCGGTTAAACCTTTCTCCCCCTCATGAGAAGATGTCCTCTTTGTCCAGCTCTGGCGACGCCGGTCTGGAAATGTCAAAAAGTTGTTGCGGGGAGCCGGCGCTCGACCCCCTGGCCTTGAGGAGCTGAAGTGCCTCGGTGAGCTGCGCCTCCAGGCCGGACATCCGGACGTCCAGGCTCTTGAGGTCGTCCTTCAGCTCCAGCTTGAGCTCCTGGAGCGACGCCTGCAGCGTCTGCTCCGGGATCGGGTAGAAGCCGTGCCGGCTCTCCGGCGGCTGGACGGGGCTGCGGTCCTGGGGCGTCAGGCGGAATTCGCCCGCTTTGTCCAGGCGCAGGTCGCTTTTGGTGATGCCGCTGTCGCACGAGTCCGTCTTCCTCAGGGACGTCTGCGACTCGAGCGCCTTGGTCCGTTCGGGCAGAGTCTCCATGGACTCGGCTTTGGACACCTTCTTCCAGTTGTCGGCTTTGACCACGGACTCCTTGAAGAGGCCCCAGCCTTTCACCTTCACCGGTTCGTTGGCGCGGCCTCCTATCAGAGAAACGGGGACCGGCACCTGCAGCTTGGCCTTGCCCGAGGGAGGACAGGCGGTGGGCGCCGAAGACGAGGGCGCCGAGGACGAGGGCGTCGCCGGGCTCTCCGTCACCGTGACGATGCTGGTGGTGGTGGAGGCGGCGGCGGCGACGGACGCTCTGCATGCCGGGATGTCCACGTACGCGGGGCCCTTCTCGACGTCGTGGTCGTCCAGTTCCGGCACGTGGCGCGCCTCCTTCTGCTGCCGAAAGCGCTGGAAGAGTTTTCTCACCGGGTGGTCCGGGGGCAGGTTCAGAGGGGCTTCATTCTTCCGTCTCTGGCGCTCCTCTTCCTCCCGTTTCACGTCACTGATTTTTCGGAAGACGATCTGCAGGAGAGTTTAAAGTTCTTGTGACTAAAACAGCATCGTAAATGAAGGAATAAAATCACAGAGCCTGATGAAAATCAGGTTTATCCATCTTATTTGATTGTGCAGCTCGCGTGAGGAAGACTGAGCTGTTTATAAATGCGGGTGCTGTGTAAATGTCATCTTTTAGAGAGGCAAGTCCCACGAGACCGAGGCAAGGTTCACATCACGCCTCTGGCTTCAGCGAAGACACCGTTATTCTGTTAGACTATGACTCGGATCACACTGATGTACCGTACAAAGAACACAATATTTGTTCCATACATCTGTGTTCTATTCGACAACGACATCTCCCATCAGTCATAGCAGAAAGCATCATTATGACGCCGGATGTTTCTAAAACCAAGAAAAATCACCTCCAAAGCTCAATTTAGTTATTAATCAATACAAAAACCTCCCCATGTTGTCAGCCTTCATGCTAAGCTAAGCTACCAGCTTGTTCGTACCGTCATTAAATGTCTTTGAGGTTTTAAGGCTTATCTGACACATTATATTGGACCGATATCCTTTTACAAACACACATGATTAAACAATCCTGATAAAGAATTTGATAGTTTTACAGATCTCCTCCGTATACTAAAACCTCGCTCTGGCGGATTCATTGCTCTGCTTTTCAACCAACCACCTGCAAGAAAACTTCTATGCAGAATTCCCAAACTATTTCTGCAACCATAGAATACAGACAGAATAACCATCACCTTTCTGCATTCTAGATGCTAATCCAAAAATCCCTCTGCGCGTAAATACACACTGCCTGACAAGCGGAACAGAAGCTATGTGGCTAGCTGGATTTCCCTGAAGTGTACAATCAGAAAGTACCGGACCCTGTGAATGGTGAGCACACGGCACCAGATGAGATTGCCTCTTCACACGCAAGCAATTCCATTTTACGTGTACTCTCACGGGCGCGCTCGGCCTACTTTGAATCCTGTAAAGATTGGTAGCCGCACTCGAGTGGTCCGTCACAGCTGTTCATTTCTGAAGGAAGGTCAGAGGGGCTTTAATATACGCCGGCGCTTTAATGGACCTGTCTCTTCCTCTGAGGTGTAGTATTGGTTGTTTTGCTGCTCATGAGCTGTGAGTCCATTATTGTTGTCGAATATATTAAATTTACATTTTCTAAAAGGAGTTGTGTGTTTGTTGTTTCTGCTTGCAGCCACATACAAATTGATTCCACTTATACATTCAGTTTGATGTAAAATTACTTTCAAAATGCTGGTAAGTGGATTTGACTACTTATGGACAGAAGAGCCATGCAAAACATTTCCCTTTGCTTTCAGTGTGTGTGCTAAGCTACGCTAACCATCACCTGGCTGGAGCTACATTTAACTGACAGGGACATTGTTTACCGGTCTTCACGCATATGCAAACACACTGCTGAGTGTATTTCACACATTTCAAACCTTTCCTTTGACATGAGACAGTGAGAGAGAGAAAAATGTGTACTTGTAGAAACTGAAGATCATGTGACCTCTGGAAGGCCCAGTGCAGCAATTCTGTCAACGATAAAGATAAAAACCACTGATGGTTCAAGTCCTCACTAAAAATGAAAAATGACGGTCTGGTCAGAAGAAAAGTAGCTGATCAAAATTAGTTGAAAATCTAATCATCCTTATTTTGAGAAGCAGGCTTGTAGTTTTGCAACATTTTTCACCTCATTTTTGTCATTCTAGTGGTCATGAAAAATGGTAATGGAAGTTTCTGAATATTTTCATTAATTTTCTCCATTCATAACACATATCGTGTAAAGACAATCAGCTCAGATAATATATATTTTTAACAAGCTCTAAGTATGAAACTGTTAATAATCATATCAGTAAACGTTTCTTGTTGGGCCCAAATTCTATGATTTTCTGGATCTCGGCGCCGTCTGAAGAGTCACTCACCCGTTTCCGCAGGTTGTAAGTGAGCAGCAGATTCCTTGAGAAGTGGTTGGAAAACGCTGTGTAGAACTCCAGCACCTTCTGCAGGGCGTCCCGTTTGATGACGTGGAGGTCGCAGTAGGTCAGTGCGCGGACGTTGGCGCAGGCCTGAGCCAGAGTCACTTCTTTCCAGAAGACGTCTCCAAATACGTCTCCTTTGCCTGCAGGGAGAGGACACTGATCAAACCGGGGGATTCGTCCAAAGCGTAAACTAACAGAGAAATAAACCACCTGATAAGTCTGTACCACTTTCTAATGTTTGACGACTAGTCGATAAATCGTTTCTCATTGATTAATAAACTAGTTTTATGTCTTTGATTATAACACAGTTCTTAAGGTATGTATCTATTCGTTTTAAGGAGTTCAAATGATCATCAAACACACATCTGGATATTTACAGACAAAAACCTGCATTTACAATCTTGTAAACTGGTTCTTCAATTCATCAAAAGTACCCAAATCATCAACTGATGAACATACAATAAAAAAAATGCAGGAGGATTTTTCTTTTACAACTTGACAACCTGAACGTTATAAGACAAATCTGCATTGATCCCAATAAGAACAGATCATCAGCATCACTTATGGACTATTGAAGCTATTAAATATTGTGTAAACGTGCAAAAGGCCTTTTAGATATGTGAAGCAACTCATAAGTGCTCAACGCGCCGTCTGTCAATGGGATTTGCTCGACGGGATATTGATTGTTTAAAAGAGGAACGGAAAGGCGGCCACGACCGCGCACGTCACGCGTTATTCACTAAATCAATTATTTGGCAAATTAAAATGATGTAACAAAGTTGTAAAAAGGAAACACTCAGCTGGGATTTAACCAGACGTTTAACAAAAATGTTTTTTTTCCATATGTTGATGAATAAAGCCTCCATCCTTAAATCCCGTCAAGATGGTCTGGTTCTTTCCTTGTCAGTATGTATTATGCATGGAGTACCAGTGGGACGAGCTCTAAATTATACTTTAATCCAGTCTGGTCTCATTTTAGCGCCTCGGGTCTCGAGGTCGGTGTGTCCATTTAACCCAAAACGCATCCAAAATCTAACGGACGGGAGTCTGTATAAAAAAAAATACATTATTGTACAAAACCTGAGTTCATGACTCAGCAGATATTGATCCACGAGTATCTGTTTTCACTGCAGTCAGAAAGGGAGAAAGTGACAATTCCCGTTAACAAATTGTGAGCTTGCGAAGCCTTTTTTTATTTTTTACTCTACACTGTCCTCACTGCCATATATTTGACCGTCGATGTGTTGCTAAGTTAATAATAAATTATTACAGCGGAGAGACACCGGCCTCTTGCATGAAATAAATATAAGGGGCGAATCGCATTTTAAATGATGTCATAAACGCCCAGTGTACGGAAATGCTCCAGGAGAGGCCGTCTCACCTAGAATTGCCACCACCTCTTCATCCTGAATGACCTCCAGCGACCCCGACACCACGAAGCAGAGGCTGTCCACGCTTTCCCCCGCGTGGTAGATCAGGTCACCGGGGGCGCAGTGGATGGTCTGAAACTCCATGGCCAGCGCTCGGAGACACCCGTCGCTGGCCAGCCGGAACGCCGGGTGCTCCTTGAACACCTTCCGGTTGAGGTGAACACAAATATCGGCCCTCATGTCCTTCGGGCAGATCTGCAGCACCTGGGGAGAGAAACGGGAGAGCGGGGAGAAGAGCCGCGTGACGATCTGACTTTCATCACGTTAGGTTTAATTCATCGTTAGAGCTTGTGGACACTTTTCCAGCCATTTGTAATACGAGCAGCTGCATCTATATTATAGAGCGGCGTTCCACTCGGCAGCACCAACAATGAGTGTAAACAAGTGGAACCTTTCATCGCCTCGCGCACAGCGAGCCGAAGGTGGCGTTACACCCACCGAGGTGATTCATTCGGTGCATTGCTCAGATTTTAAAAGGTTACAGGCTAATTTAGTGTTTGGTGTTATATACTGAATATGATTTGAAAGCTTATTTAAAAAACGCAGGATTAATTGTCAAATTGATTTCCAGTAGTCAGAATTTGTTTTTGTTTTTCCGGCGGAATGTTCGCAGCTTCTTTGGGAAACACGTGAACTGTTTCTATTGTCTGCGGCTGATTCTGTTCGGAGTGAATTGTGCTTTATGGTGGAGCCTCACGTGTCCACCCACCTCTCTGCCGCGTGTCACTGAGTGGCAGCGTGTTGTTGAAGTACAGCTAATCAACAGGACGCCAGGCCGTCCAGGGTTCTGCCTTCAAAATAAATCTCTTTGAAGATGAATGTCAAGCAAAGAGGGATTATAACGCCATTTTTAGAGCCTTTAGTGCGGCCTGACGCCAGACAGATAAATAATACATAGATGCAGTGCACACTCAACAAAAAGAAAGGACATAATGGTTGGATTTAACTACAGATTTGCAGCTGACGAAATCGATGCCTTATTAGAAGTTATGTTCCTGATTTGAGGTAAAATAACAGAACTTTTTTTCCATGATTGGATTTTGGACAGATGGATTTATATGGGATGCAGCGATATGAATGCCGCCTTGCTTGGAATCAATCAGAGCGCCAGCGGTTCAATTCGTCTGCTGCCAGCTTTAAGTGCTTAATTCCCACGCACTGAAATCACTTCAGTCATCTGAATTCGATGGGCTGGCTGGTGATAACTGTTCCATAACCGGCATACCGATGTCTGACTTTCATAACACGATGCTAAATGTAACCGCAGAATAGCCTGACACCAAAACAAAATGAAGAATAAGCCCTTTTGTGATTGTTTTTTTTAGGTTCCTCAGCAAACAACAATAGAAAAAAAAAAACGTGAGATTCTCTCAATAACTGTGTTTACTTTCCAAAAGACGAGGAGTAGAAGACATAGAATAACACCCAGAAATCACATGGGCCCCAATGGAAGACGCACCTTTTCCGTGTCGATTCCCCGGGACATGGACCAGGTGGAGGCGATGTAGTCCATCACTCTTTCACTCAGGCCCTTCGGCACCTGGTAGAGCTTGAGGAAGTCCCGGACGCTGTTGATCATCTCATGGTACCGATTGGTGTTAGCGTACATCTGCTGGAAGATGGTGGTCACGTTACCGAAGATGGTGGCGTACAGAAGAGCTGGAGGAATACACGGGGAGAAGGGAGGGAGGGAGGGGGGGCGTTTCATTTATATGACACGTTTCCAAACATCTCAGATTCCTGGTTAGTGGAACATAAAGGGGGGGGGGGTACGTAAATGGAGGATTATGAGCTTTAAATCACTGGGGGCATTGAAATAAACTACATCACACGATAAATCAGACCACATGTGCACGGCTCATTGTGTTTATATGAGAAAATCATTTAATCATTCACGGGGGAAATGAACAATTACTGCTCGTCATTGCCGTCAATTATCATCCACAGAACTCTCCCGAAATAGTAAAAACAACGAGCTGGACAGTGTGTGGCTGGAAGCATCCGGCCCAACACGGGCGTGTCTCCTGAATGAGGACATCTCTTCTCACTGTGTCCTCTGATGGAAGAGTTAAAGAAGGAGCACTGCCGTGCATCTGGAAGGTGTTCGGGCGGTTGAACCGGTGCAACAGCTGGAGTGCGTGTGGATCAAAGCCATCAGACGTGTTCTCTCTGCGACGGAGCCCTAATTAGCCCCCCCGCTAGAAGGGAAGGAAGTCGAGGAAACACGCCAGCCGCACATTTCAATTACACGCAGACGACGACAGCGACCTGCGTCTGTTTACTTCACGCAATCAAAGAATAAAACCAATTAAAAGAGCGCTCACACCTCCTCAGGGGCAAAAACACCCTATTTCATCCTCGCCGCGTCATCACCGACCACTGCGATGTCACCTCAACACGGACGGCGCGCCGTGGTCACTCAGCGAGGGTTTTCAGGTGTGTTACGCCAAGCCGATGGAATCAGACTGTGAATTCGTTTCCTTCTGGATGTTAACCAAAGTTTGGTGGACGACCGCCTCCCCGGGCTTCAGCTCGCTTGCTGCTCTGACGGGCAGAAGATGCTGCAACAAAGGGAACTCGACCCGTCCCTGAGGAGCGTTCCCCAAAAAAACGTCTCCCTCTCGCTCTCTCTCTCTCTCTCTCTCTCTCTCCCACACGCTGGCGTCCACACGGCTTCATCGCTCGCCGTCCAAACAGCTGGGTAGTTGTGAGACAGTTGCCAGAAACTCAAACCCCCGGGCCATCGGTTGCTATAGAAACAAGACATATGTACAGTGCCCCCGTTTCCAATTCCCCCCCTCCCCCCCAATCCTTCGTCACACTGTGATCTTCTAGTGCTGGTGGTAAAAATAGAACAGTATCACAGCATCCATATTTCATGGAGAAGTGCCGTGGACTACAGTAGATCGCATCTACAACCGAGTCGTCCTTTTTATTTATTTTTTTAGATATTTAGATTCCTATCACACAATGAAACATTGAGGGGTTTTTTTTCCAGTCCAATGCCTGACTGTGTATCCATAAACCTGAGCAGCCAAAAGGTAGAAACAGACGGGAGGAAGATGAGGGGGGGGGGGCAATGATCCTGTGCAGTGGAACAGAGGTGAGGCGTGATTGCAGAGGGATCAGAGGGAGCACTGAGCTAAATTGATCCGGCGGTCCGTTATTGCTTGGAGGTGCAGTCACACGTCGATGCGTCACGCTGCAAACTGCGTTATGAGCCACACAAGCAGAAGACTTCCTCATAAATGTTTAATATCGAGATGTGAAAAGAAGGGCAAGCTGTGCGAATATGCTGGTTTGTTACTCAGTGGAGGCAGGATATTCTGCCTTGTTATTTATTGTTTTAAGTTTAGTTATTGTTAAAGTGACTTCTTGTAAGTGTTATTTTAGGCGTTTAGGCAGTTTTTTTCCCCCCAGATACTAATTGCTTTTTTTGTCCAGGCGCATCACTGCTGGGTTTTACCAAAACAGACACGGCCTCACAAATGAACAGCGAGCGACACAATGCGTTGAAGAGACGCTCCGCTAGACTCCAGCCTCCAAAGAGCAGCTGTCGCATTCCCCGTTTCAGCTGCTTTTCAGACGGCAAAACTTGTGTGAGTAAACGCATCTCGCTGCAGAAAAGCTGAATAATTCAGCACAGTGTCACACAGAAGACTGAGGTAATGAGCCTAATGAATGCAAAGATAACAGAGCTCCTGCTCCACCGCGTACATCTTCAAGGGGACGAAGTGGAGAAGACAGACACTGGAGAAACCGAGAGTTAGTCCGGAAAGTCATTGCAGCTTTCGATAGCTTTAAATGTCACATATATGGCTTTACCAACCAAGATGGTAATCTTTAGTTACTCAGGATTTACACCAGAGGTCCCAAGAGTGCATGAGGATGAGCTGGTCACTTATGATTGGTTACGGTAAAAAAAAATACTCCCAAATCGGCAAATGTTAACAGGATGTCCAATGAAAAGCCACTTCCACAGAAGCCAGAAAATTATGTTTATGGTCTTTAAATTTCTTCCCTTTTTCCTCTCTTGTAAGGGTTTTTTCATTTTTTGGGGAGTTTTTCCTGTGCCGATGGTGGGTTTCGGGGCAGAGGATGTTGTATGTGTACAGACTGTAAAGCCCTCTGAGGCAAATTTGTAATTTGCGATTATGGGCTATACAAAATAAAATGAATTGAATTGAATTGAAATGTATTTGATGAGATTCGTTATCAACACGTGCTCACATCTGAACTACAACAGGTTCATAATGTAAACATTTTTTTATAAAATATGTAACTGAAGACGAAATGTGAATTTAAAAAAGTGTAAATGTAAAGTGTGCCAAAGAATGTCCTGTTTTCTTGTTAAAGGCGCAGTGGAAGTGGAAATCAAAGGCCTGTGATACCGTACATCAAACAAAAACTGCCCTCCATTGTTGTGGCGCCGAACTAGATTCCACCAGAGCAGCATCTGCTGACTTACAGGAGAGTTAAACATTGCACAGCTAATCACCTGTAAAGTTATATTCTGTGAACTCGGATGGCTGCGTCCTTTATTCATTTATTCACCTGCTCCTGCGCACCGTGGCTTTAAAGAGCATATTTAACGTCTCATGTATCATGTATTCGCCGCACCGGGTGAAAGATGAAACGCCTCCACTCACATCCAATCATCATCATGGCCACTGCGAAGATCTTCTCCCCGTCCGTGGTCGGGGCGATGTTCCCGAAGCCGATGCTCGTCAGGCTGGTCATGGTGAAGTACAGCGAGGTGATGTAGACGGAGTCTTTGTTGGGCCCCCCCTCCCACTTCCCCGTGCCGCTGGCGTTGAAGCGGTACGGATTGCCCACCGTCTCTGCCAGGATGTAGAGCCAGCTGTCCATGCGCACGATGTTGGTTTCTTCGTCGATGACCTCGTAATCGCCGATGCTGAACCTGGAGAGAAGCCGGGCGACAAGTGAGCGGTTGACAAAAGAAACGGTGCACAGGGAGGAGGAAATTGTGGTACCAATTTTTGCATTCATATGAAACAAAACAGGAGCTCCTTCTAACGGTATCCGAGAGCGAGGTTTGCTGGATTTTACTGTGTGGGCCGATAAACGGTGTTCAAGACATTGGCCAAAGGCTCCTGAAGGACACACGCTGGCGAACCTAAAGAATCCGCATACGTGACATCTTTCCACATGTCCACATCGTTAGAGGTCTTGTAGATGAGCATCGTGTTGTGGTTATTAATATATACATATATGTTTCCACCACGCAAGAAATCTACATTGTAATGACTAAAATATGACTCTCCTGAAACCACTGCTACTCTTTCCGACTCGTTGTAATTTTTATGCATGGAAACAAGTTGGCTAAAAATAACTGCGGATGCATTAATTAGCTTCACCAATGGATTAATTAGATTGACTGGCTCCACCATTAGTTAATCACTGGGAAGGCCGTCTCAGAATTTGTTATCTAATGTGTTAGGAAGTAACTAAGAACTTATCTGAAGTTAAATTTTACTTTAAGGGTACTTTACTCTATTCGGGTATTTTCATTTTCTACATCGCCACAGGATGAAAAGATAAGAAATCAACAGATAAGTAATGATGAAGGTATCTGGAGGGCATGTTAGCAAAAACCTTTATATAAAAAGATAAATGCCACAAACGTACCAAATGCAAGCCAGCCAGTGAGCGGCCAGTCCAAAAACACACACCAGCAGGACCAGTACGGCCGCCCCGTACTCAATGTAGTGATCCAGCTTACGGGCGACCCGACCCAGACGGAGGAGCCGGACCACCTTGAGCGAGCTGAACAGACTGCTGATCCCCTGAAGGGAAAGAGGAGAGGGACACAAAGACAAAAAGGGTTAAATTAAAAAGTTGAAACATTGAAGTTTCTATTCTTTCATTGGTTCATTGTTTAGTCGCAGGACTCTCGAATGCGTCGCCACAAGAGGAGTTACAGTTATTAAAGGATATATTTTGTTAGTTATATATGCTTACGTCTGCATTATAAAATGATACAAACCGTAAGTGCTAATCGGGGGGCTTAAAATAACCTCTATTAGAAATATATTTACAATATATAACATTTTGAGTATATATTTTGTTTGTATTTAATCTATTTTTAATTTACTTGTGATTTATGGGGCTTGGCTGCTGTGATTTTCCAATTGGAATTAATAGGAATGCACCTTGGATAGAATTAACTTTGGCAGCTTATTCTCTCAAGAGAGAATTTAGCAAATTTCACAGAAACTGTTAAAAACAATTATCCACCATACATTTAAACCTCTGTTTTCATCAAACGATTAAACTGTGAACATTAACTGTGATGAAGCTGTTGGCTTGCGATCAGATATTTATTAAAAAACGCATTTTAAAACACTTTAAAGCATATTAAAGAATCAATATGAAAGCGTATGAGCCCACAGCAAACGTGATGGGAAGATACCAGTGAAAAGAGTTCAGATACGCCAACTGCATTTTGAAAAAGTTTCCCTCCAATGTGATTTTACAACTCGCAGCCATTACATAAGCAGCAGCTAGATGTCTACTCAGCCTAACTGAATATATTGAAACGCCCACTCAAACAGACAAATGCAGTCCCATCAGTTTGCTGCTGGGTCCATGTGTGTGTGTGTGTCCACTGGCAGGGCTTATTGATTTGCTAATGTGCTGCGGTCTGCAATGCGAGTACAACTGCAGCGCTGGCTGTCACTTGATCTGATCTGCTGGCTGCCAGACACCTCGGCTTCCCTCAAATCGCTTTACGGACCTGAGCTCCAACGGAATCCGATAATCAGCGCCAATCGTGTTTTTGAGTTCTGCTGCGGAAAACTCTGCAAACAGGAGAAAAGTTCCCACCCGTTAAAAAAGTAATTTGTGGAACTTTTTAAACGAGACGGCTGTGCTTTAAATTAGAAGAGGAAACCAGCAGCGGGTTTAAAGGCAATTTTCAATCGCAGCATCTCTGAAGCTCATTAAAGAACTTGTTTTGGGCGGTTTTATGTTGTTTAAGTGTCATCTTCATCGGCTGCTAACAGCGTTTATGCTAAACTGGGGACTAAGGGCTGCAATAAAACCGCCAACATTCCCACCAGCCGCTCCCGCTAACTTTAATCCGAGGTCAGACTGAGGATTGACGACATTCCCCGAGCTGGAGGTGTTGTCTGCGGACTCACCGGCTCGCCGCTTGTTCGCGCGCGACAGATTTCTTTCAGTTGGCGCAATAACGTCACAGTCTCAGAAACGTTAACTGAGGAAAATTCTATTTGGGGATTTTACAAAAGAGGCCAAATCCTTTTTAGATGCTTTACAGTTGTCATTTAAGTAAATATTTTTTCCATTCAAATCATGTAGTTTACAGAATATTCAACCTGTGTTTGTTTATAACTTAAATAAAGTAGGTGATTTAAGAATTGTCCATCCGCAACTCTAAAGCTCACAAAATCAATTGTTGTTTTACAGGGAGTAAACATGCTACATGCTACATGCTAGCTGATTCCTCCCGCTAACAGTCGTTGTGCCAAAAAAAAAAACAAGACCAGAGTCAAGCCGGCAAAACGTTATTCGCCCTCCGGCTGAGAACGTTAAAGAGAGAGCGTGTATCTATGTAAAAACATAAAACATACATCTCTAAATCTCACTAATCAACACTTTGTAATGTGTTTCATTTACACTCATTCCCCCGCTTACACTGTTTAGTGCCAAAGTAATCAACCGCTGGGTCACACAGATATCTCACTGGCAAAAAGTGTAAAGAAAGGAGATAAAAGCGTATTTTCAAAATGTTATTTTAAGAAATAGTCATTATTGTGCAGAAAAGTACCTTTTTTTTTTTTTGTTAGTAAGCATGTATTATGCGTCTCCCACAAGCACGTCCCCGTATAAGTTTCATGCCTTCATTGGAAAATACTTAATTACCCTATTAGATAATATTCAAAGATAACGAAATAAGGAGTCTTTAACGCTCTTAGAAAAATGAGGTTTGATATCAGCAGCTGATATCAGATTAGTTAGTTAGTAACCAAATGTTTTTAGGATGTTTAAACTTTCCGTTGTGCAAGAACTTTGTGGCAAATATTTTACCTTTATTAAATAACATGAAAACACCATTTAAAAAACAAACAAACATACGTTCACGACACAACATCTGATTTGGTAAAGAGGATAAAAGAAAGAGATGGCAAAGCACACTATGCTCAAAACTCATGATTTAAAACATGTTTTCAAACGCCAGGATTTTTTTTAATCTCATCGATTCAGTCAGTTTGTCACAAAAGGGAACTGAATCGACTCCAAAGCAGCTTCAATGACGCTGCTGTCCACTTTCAAAATGTACTGTTGGACATAATCACATGGATGTTATTTCCTGGCGCTGAAAACCTTTAGCGACTTGTTTTCTGTGACATTTATGTCCTGCAGAAAAGGGCTTCTGCTGGCGTGAAATGTTGGTCGCAGGAAGGAATGTCACAGAAAAACTGAGCGTTTGAAGTGAAAGTGAAACACAAAACTGCAACATCAGCATGTTCTAATCAAACTGAAGCCTACTTGAGTGACAGCTTGGTGGTTCCAATTCTTCCCATCACGTCCCATGCATGAATACAGGCAGAAGAGGGAGGGGGGGGGGGGGGGAGGAGGAGGAGGAGGAGGCCATGCAAACAGAAGGAACGTAAAAGAAGAAAAACATAAACGAAGCACAAGAGAGAAGACACTTGATCAGTAGTAAGCGATGAATAAACATGTGACAAAATCAACACTCGACAAAAGGCATCAAATGAAAAAGGAAGCTCTGCTCTCTCCCTGCGTCTGTGAGGCGGGGGCCGCGGGGGGCCGGAGGACGCCTCGTTAACGACACTAAGTGGCTTCAGCGGCTGCCGCTTGGGGTCATCGGTCATTACGAACTGATGTCCACCACGTCCACGGCGTTCAGTCAACGCCTCGAACGCTTCGAGGTCGCCAACAACGACTCCGACAGCCGTTGATGATCTCGCCCCGTTTGGAAAACCAAAAGAGCCGATCGCAGCCATCACAGCCATTCAAGTCAGTCGTTGGGGGGGGGTTTGTGTATCAGCAGCGAGAGGCTCCGGCGATTGTTTACCCCGCTCTCGTTTACACGGATGCCCCGAAGCAATTTGCAGCAAATTGGAGTCAAGAGTTGTTGCAGAGACCCGCTGAAAGATGATCCTGGAAGTGGACGGTCGTTTTTCATTTAGCAGCCGGCGGCTCCGTGCTCTTATCGTACACAAAGTAAAGTCCCGTGAAGTGCAGGCACGCAGCTAAAAATCTGCTCCACTTTGGTGGATTTTCGATTCGTTAACATTTGATTCTATGGGATGTCAGAAAATAGTTTCAAACATTTCCACACACTAAAGTTTAGTTTACAATTATATCAAAATGAGAGAAAGTATTTATTTGTGTCACTGCAGGCAAAGCCTCATTTAGCTTGTCACACAGAGAAGGAAAGTGGGTGACGTGCTTTTTCTAGATAACGACCATATCTTTGTCTGAGACAATGCGATGGCTGCGCCTGTTTTTAAATTTCTGGTAGCTGAAACGTTGACTAGAAAGGGGACAAGATGCAGGACCTGCAAATACAACTTCATGCACGTGGCCCAACAGAAAGCCTTTTCATTTGTTTAAAGCAGTTGCGAAGCCTTTCTGGTGGCCTCGTGCTGCATGTGCTACCCGATAGCCCCTCAGAGCCGACACACACACACACACACACACACACTGCACAGCTCGCTGTGACGCAGCTCGCCGTTTAATGCTTTCACAGCAGGTTACAGTTGCTGTAACGCACACACATCACGAGAAGCAGGCGCAGGCACACACATGCACGCACAATGGTGCATTATTAGAATGAAAACCGGTCACTGCAGGACCCCCGAGGCTGCATTTAATCTACGTGTGTGCTTCACACGCTGTGGTTGCACCATAAACATACATTTCAATCACTTGGAGTAGGAAATAAAACTGTACTGTGTGAAAAACATGTACCGGTAAATATTTTTACATCTATGCAATCTGTAGTCTAGAGTTATTTCACCTGAATTAAACAAATGGAGGCAACAAATAAACGACCTGTTCCATTTGTCGCCCTGCACAGCCAAGCAGAGACATTTAGTAAACATTTCTAATGTAGTCACCAACCTACATGGTTGAAATAGTTCATCCAGCTGAAAGTGAAGGACTTTAAATGCTCGTTGGGTAAAACAACATGTTAAGCGCAGCGTGTGATTCTGTCCTTTTGTCAGCTGTCATTAGGCGTTAATGGTTTTAGGGCATCGGTGATCGCTGCCTCGGTTTAATAATCTAACCCTCCGTCCACAATTAAAATGCACCAATTATCTCGAGATCCTGCGATGGCTCTCCAGCAAACACTCGTCACGTCGGTCAAACATTCACAAACAAATATATATTATGATGTTGCTCATTCAGAAGCACGATACAAAACAACAACCGGAGATCCGGATCTGATTGTCACTGTCATGTTGTTGTTGAGTTGCTGCAGGGAAACCTAATAACCTGTCAATCACCTCAGAAAAGATCCCCTCTAGAATGTTTCACCCCGGCCCGATTTAATAGACAGAAGCTGAGCCAAAATACAACATATCCAATAAATCTGCAACGCTTTTTGCTATTGATTTACTGTATATTACTCAAAATTGGGAACCCTGGTTTCATTTTGGCGCAGATAATACGACCGGGCAACAGCAACTGTGTGCATTCAGCAGTTTGTTGGATTAAATCCAGAGTGGCAGAAACGTTTTACATTCTGGCCTTGTCCGTGCTGAGCGCGTGCTCGACCACCAGGTATCAGTTGTCCCGTAGCGTGAACTCTACGCCAACGCCACGCGCATACGTTATGAGGTTTATGTGTTGGTTGGAATAGTGTGCAGAGTTCCAGCAGGTTTGCTTGAGTCGGCATATTCCTGCCCTGCTGTTAGTTAGTGGTTGGGACGCTCACTGTAAATTTAGATTATTGATTGTGTGGACCCAGGAGTAAGAGGCTGCACCCAGTTGCAGGTGGCCATCACACATCGCAGCTTAAGTCTATAAATTAAAGCCATTAACAATTCCACAGAGTTTACGTCTTCAATTACTTGTTTAGTCTTGGCAGTAAAACATAACCACAGAATATTAAGACGACAATGATATATGTGACAAACAAGAAACTGACAGCTGAGAAGCTTTGGCTGTTTACAAATGACTTCAAAATGAATAGATTCTGAAACTGCATTTGCTTTTTTAGTGTGAACTAACAAATCGATCAAACCCTGAGTCGTCTGCTTCGTACCAGTTAATCCACGTAAAACGAAAAAGAAATCAAGTCACAATTTGACAAACCTAAAACGGATGCATTCAGAGTGCTCATGTCTAACAAACTGTCCAAACCCCCCCAGAACAGGAAGTCTGCAACCAACCTAGGACAAAGAAGGACAGGGCGCTCACCTCATCGACATTCTCGAAGGCGTTGATGACGTCGTACGGGAGGCAGGACAGCAGGTCGATGACAAACCACGTCTTCAGGTAGTTCATCCGGATCAGTTTGGGGTCCGAGATGACCTCGCCGGCGGGTCCCACGAACGTGGTGTGAAAGTTCAAAACGATGTCCACCAGGAAGATGACGTCCACGATGCTGTCCACCACCAGCCACGTCACGTTGTTCTGCTTGGTCTTGAAGGAGACGTTGTAGGGCACCATGATGGCGGTGTAGAAGGTGAGGATGAGGATGACCCAGTCCCACGTGGTCTTGAAGAGGCAGTAGTGCAGGATGATGTGCGGAGGGGTTTTGGGGGTCTCCTGTTTGTACTGAGGTAGGATATCTGAGCCCAGCTGCAGTACCTAACAATAACAGCCAGTCAGCTAAACCCAGAAGCACAGGTAGACGTACGCAGAGACACTGTAGACATTAGGGGCTGAAATGACGTCGCCCTGAGCGCGAGCACGGCGGACCTGCTCAGAAGAAGTTCACCTGATCTGAAACATTCTACGGGTACCGGATACCGAGCGTGTATTCCTCCGTACCTCAGCCAGGCGCGAGTGCTTGTGGACGTTCTCTCCCTGGTGGACCGTGGGCTGCAGCTGCTGCAGGACTCCTCGGCTGCTGGTCAGAGCTCGAGTCAGCCGGGCGAACTTCCCCCAGCCTGAGGATTACAAACAGCTGATGTACGCTCAATCTTTGACCCGACGGTTTCCAGCACGCACACAGTCACACACACAGAGACACACACACACACACCCTTCTGGAGCAATGTGGGGTTCAGTTTGCAGGACTGGAGGAACCCAATGGGTTTTCGGTGGGTTTCATGTTTTTCGTATATTCAAAAACTTTTTAACAGTTTTTACTGAGACAAAAAGAAGTACGTGTGCTAACCAAAAGAGCACTAAATAAATCCACCAATTAGTCATTTCATCCCTGTAATGTTGTCAGTGACCGTTTCCTGCAGCAGAACCTGAGGTAGTATCTTTACTTTTTTTTAGGGCGATTTAAGCTTCGCCGCCTCTATCAGCTGAGCTTTTTGTTTTCTGGGTTTACTCTCACTGATCCCATTGTTCTCGGCTGCAGCGGGCAGCTGTTTTCTGTAAAAACAAATCAGTAAAAAAAAAAAGAAAGTGTCCGCTGTAGATGAAAGGAGAGTGACTCGAATTTACTCGGCTGGATGCGTAAAAAAAAAGGCTGTAATAATACAGTATGTCAATGTTCTGTATACAGCTTGTGTACTGTAGGTTTAGAATACTTCCTTTATGGTTAAAATGGGACCGTGGATATGAGTAAACAGTGAGGACAGTGAGCACAATCCTCCCTTAGCTGGTGGGGGATACTGCATTTAGAAAAGATCTTCACTCTCCTACTCAGGCAGCACAGATCAATGCGTGTTATTGATTGTCGGAAAGAGGGCAGGAGCTAAAGCCTCGCTGGTGCAACATGCTTTACATCAGAGCACCTGTTGGTGCACGTCCACCATCTCCACCTCACGATGCGATCCCCCAACCTGTTTCCGTCACCGGTGCTTCTGATTCACGTTCCTATTTCGGCTCGTCTTCGGCAGTTGTGCCGATCGGTGAATCATTTGTTGTGTTGTTTGCTGACAACCGTGGCGATGGGCGTTCGACGGAGTGGGCGTTTGCCGGAGCAGACGCACAACGCACAAGGTTGGATGGGGATCGCTGGCGGAGTAAAGTTTCCTCTGCCTCCCTCGCTTTGTGATCTCTGTGTGAGTCTGACACGCAGCGTGCAAAACACCCTAAAGAATTGTGTTCAAGTAAGGCGGAAACCGACTTTTGTTTCTATTTGAATCACCGCGGGGAGGTTTAATTGGCCGCGTCGCATAAGAAATCCTTTGTTGACACTGACCTTTGGAGGAATCGTCTTCAATGGGCTGTTTGAATGCCGTGATGTCACTGAACGTGCAAAGGAACAAGACCACTTTCTCTTGTTCGTTCCGAATGGGAGCGATCTTCACAAAGAACCAAACGGGCGTCCCTGGAAGCATAAAAAGAACAATGCACACGGACTTCAATGCATCATCTGCTTATTTTTGGAGCAAATGACACGGAGTTTGTTTGTTCAGTGCATTTCAACAATGAGGCATATTCGAAGAGATGTTGAAACCGAGATGTTGGGGACTAATGTGTCCACCCTTTGGACTCCACCCTTTGTGACGGGACCTGCGTGTTCAAAGAGGGGAACGAAAGGGTGACTCCTTTTCTCACATGAGACGCGGCTACTTACGGTTTTTCTTATACATCAGTATTTCAAACGAATTCATCTCGTAATTCTCGAAAGTTAGGCGCACTTTTTCCGTCGAGTCCTTGTCCGTGAGCTCCCCGTACATAAAGCTGGAAAACACAAGGGGAGAAAAGACGTTTAATATTTAATAGGCACGTTGTCAGGCTCAGAGCCAGCGTGGCGATGAAGGCTTCAAAGGTAACGTGCGGGTTGCTGATTATTCACGTGTTTGGCGATTGCTACTTTTCTCAGACCCTCAGGTGTATTTTCAAGCAAAATAATCCCCAAACTAATCTGCAGTTTTTCAGACTTACACCTGAGACCAGATTGCTTTTCGATAATAATTTGATTAAAACTCATTGAAATGAAAAGCATAAAGAAAAGATAAATGCGGCCTAACGTCTAATTGGTCTCTCAAAAACAAATTAAAGCTGAAGATGGGTCGAGCAACAATGAGTACATTAAACCGCGCTGCAGAGACATTAATCTCACCTTGCTTGTTACTGCCTCACTCAGTGGCAGCCTGTTCCAGCATGATCTAAATATAACTCTGAGTTTGTTATGAAGTAAAAAAAGGAAGGCTAAATTTAATGAGACGCCATCCTGACGCTGCAGAGACTTTAGAGGCCGATGCTTGATGTAATATCACGGATCAACGTCCTCTCTCTGTTATTCTGCTCGGTCGAGTGACTCGATGCAAAGAAGTATATATCCTCAACTGACACTCGTCATGCGTGGAAGAGTCCCACAGGGTTTCCCTGTATGTTGTATGTACATGTTCCCCGTGTGTTCTATGTGCATGTTCCCTGTGCAGGATGCAGGATGGAACAAAAAAACATACGCATGATTAAGGAGAGACAGAAGAGAGTAAGAGCAGCCGAGATGGAAATAACGTCTTTGATTCCACACACAAACTGGCTCAGATATCTTATCTGGAAACCCGGGAAGAGGGGAATACTTTTATTGTTTGTGTCATCGTGAAAATACTTCACATATCAAAGCTCCCACGGGCTCTCCCTATTGTAAGGTTGGAAAAAAAAAAATATATAAAGCCAAAATTTTTAAAAGAAGATAGAAAGCTTTAATTAACAATGAGGGGGGGGGGGGGGGGGGGGGGTAGTGATACCAATTAAAAACTACTCATCAGGAACCAACTAACCCACATTTCGATAAATGGTACCGATCATTTCTAACGTGGACATCCTTTATCGGAAAGTTAAAACAAACGTTTTTAAAACAGAGAAGGAAAATATTATGTGGGGGATGTGAATGATTTATAATCAGTTATGACTCGTGGAAAACTACAACTACCATCCATCAATTTACATCCATGTCTGTTATAATCAGCATTTTAATCATTGAGTTATGGCCAAAAAACAACAAGATCAGCCAAATGCAAACGTCAGTATCTGCAGCCGAGAGTGATATCATTAGTTTCACAGGTCGTCGTTCATGAACCAAAGTCTTGAACACATTGTCACGATGATGCAGCCAATTGAAAATGAAAGTGATCACAAACATGCTTCTAGTCTAAATGTATTCATTTTACTTTCTTCATAACTGAAAAAAGCTCACGTGTAAGCTGCACAAAGACAGAGGAGGTAAGTGTTTGTACATCTCAGACTGTGAGCAGGGCTGAAATATATATCAGCACTTCTTATTACTGCGTCTTTTTATTTTTAGACTGCTGAGCTGCTCCAGATGTTCGGTAACGTTATACCCGCTAGGCAGCCGCTGAACCGCCTGGTAACAGGTGGGAGTCGCGCTGTCTCTACTTCACACTCAGGAGCCCGAAAGAGAGGAGATGCTCGAGAAGAACTCGGGAGGATGTTCGGTTTGAATAAGTCCGACATGCTGCAGCACAGCGGCGGATTTCTCATACTGCAATTTCGATGCGTCACTATTCTGCCGGCAGCAGCTGCTGAATACTCTGTCGGGGAGGTATAACTGACATTCGTACAAACACAACTTTCCAATATTTCACCAAGCCGCCTTTCCTAAGTGAACTTCCAGTACCAGCAGCTGAATAATCCTTAGGCCGGAATCCAGTCATTTCCCATCCTGTGTTAATGTGAATGAGCACCAACGGGCTGCAATAATGAAAACAAAATCTTAATTTACCGTTAAGTATGTTATTCCTTTGAGCTGCGCAGTATGGGTATGAATACTTGATTAATTACTGTGTTTCACCTCCAATGAAAACAGGATTGTCGACCTCTCTTTGCTTTCTTGCACAGTACCTTCGGGTTCAGCTGCTGGAACCAACTGTTTCCGTCTGATTCTTTTAATGCAGAGCTTAATGGCACGCTTAACGACACAACAAGCACAAGTAAAGAGCTGCTTTTCATTCCTTTCTGTGAGCAGTTTTGGGGCGAGCCCCCCGTGGACACAGCTTCAGCGCTGCAGGCAGCGATGAGGCGGCAGTTTCAGTCAAAACTGTTGAAATCGGTGTATTTAACTACAATTGCATCGATTTTGCTAAAACTTGGTACAGATATCGATCTGAGTTGAAATAGCTTAGGGTATCTTTTGACTTCATCAGAACCTCAGTACAATACGTACAATACTCAGCTTTTTGATTAAATATCTCCAAAACTGACAACATTTACATCAGTGTCAGTGGTATTCTGTGTTCAGTGCTTTTATAATGTTCTAAATATCAGTTTGGATTTTAAAATAGGAAATAAGGAATTCTCTGCCTGGTGAGATAGGGGGGTGTAGATACAAATAAATAAACGTTTACATTTAGAAGAAATGAACTTGAACTTGGAATCAAAGCGAGAGCTGCACATTTGCACACTGCAGGCACTCATGCCGTTTAAAAGAAAGAAAAGCAACTTGTAGAGAAAGCCATCCTGTCTCTCCCTGGCTGCTCTGAAACTGCAGCAGGATTATTTTAGCTTCACCGGGCGAGATGAAGCTCATCCAGATTAACAAACTAACAGCTATAGTCACAATGTCCTTGGCTAATCATGAGCGTGGATCTAACGGAACAAAATACCGTGACTCAAGAGAAAAAATACGTATGATATCAACTTAAACCAAATATAAAAAAATTCATCATATTTCTTTGACGCCCGAACACGTGCAGGACACACAGAGAGCCACCGGTTTACCTGCAGGTGCTGCTTTTCTGCATCACTTCTGCTCTGTGGTACCCCGACAACTTGCAGAAACCGTCATTGCTGTAGACGATGGGCCAGTCGACTATCTGGGCGTTTCCCAGGACAAAGTTGGTATCTGTTTGAAAGTGAAGAAGGGCGAATGAACTCGAAGGGCGGCCGTATTTAAAAAATATATATGAAAAAACAACAACAGTATACAAGAATACAGAAATGTATCAGCACCACAACATCTTGTGGAGTCCTTTGGTGTGTTGCTTTAGTAGATGATGGATCAGGCCTAGTTAATTGTTATTTTTGTTTTGGGGGAAAAACAGTACTTGCATTCGTCATTAGTTAAATGATTGAATTTCAAGCGATTTCTTATGTTAATATCCCTGTTCATACATTTTTATATGTCATGAAAAGTCGCGTACATTAATTCAAATATTGCATATTTTTCACGTTCAAATGTTAGAAAAGCCTCTAAGCAAAACTTATTCATGGTGAAAAGGTAATTATTTAGTTACATATTCTTAATGGCCTGTTTTGCTACTGTCCTTTGTCTAAACCTCGGCTGATTTATAATTAAAAGGAACCTTTTGGCAGAGTCGTAATGTTAAGAACGTTTCCCTCAGTGTCTAATCAACAGAACATAGGAATCGTTGTGTTTTCATTAACTCAGATTGAGCCATTCATATCTTCACCAGCAGCGAGGCCTCTGTATGGACTCTGGCGTGTTGCCCTGGACACGGCTATTTTTTATCATCAGTCACTGTAAATCCCCATCATGCTTTGCATGTGGGAGAAGTTTCACTTTATCGCAATCTGCAACCTCCAAATGGCACCATATTCTAACACGACGCACAATAAAGAAAATAAAATAAATGTTTTTCTCTATTACTACAGTTGATCAAAACATACGTGCAAATGATATTCTGTATGTGTATTATCTACCATGGACACATGGTAAAAACCAATGTCTACACAAACCTGACCAAGTCATTTTAAAGGCCATCAACATTTGCCAATAAATAAAGTGTCATACTTAAAAATACCCCTATTCATACTTAAAATGAAACCATCTCAAATCCATCCACATATTTTTTTTAGTTTAAAAAAGAAGAAAAGAGCTGGTGCAATAGTTTCAAACGGGCGGGAGAAAGGATGATAACGAGGGATAAAACCTAAAACGCTGCCCTCCTACGAACACAGACCACAACAACGTGACGACACAGAGGAGGAAAGGACACGAGGAGCAACTTAAAAAACACCTGGCACACAACACGTTCACAAACTTCCTTCTTTTGTAGAAACACACCCACGGGGAAAAAAAGAATCTTTGATCACAACATTGAAAAGACAACTACAAGCATGAGAACACTGAATGTGATGCAGGAGACGTTCCATGCCAACGTGTTATTTTACAATGATCTTGTGATGAAGGAGGTAAAGAAAGTAAATTAGAGCCATTAGGCTTGGATTTGCTGAGTTACATCAAGTTTTCAATAACATTTGTAATAATCTCAACATTAGTCAAGTGCTTTGTAAATTAACAGCATTTGGTATAGAACATTTTGTGGTACATAACAGAGAGATTATACCGTGAAGAAAACATAAGCAGCACACCAAACCAAACTTAATAGTACCTGTCTGTTTATGTGACAGTGTCCAAACTGAAATGTTTGAAAAAGGAAAGAAGGTTAACAGATTACAGTGAGAAACATCCGTCGAACGTCGGACAAAAAAAGACGGGACGTGTCAACCAAAATAAGAGACAACACACCAACGTGAATTAGGCAAACCTCGCCCGCGCGGCTAACCGGGATGCTACGCGCTACACAACATGGCGGCTCGTTTGTAACCCGATACAGAAACAGGTGTCACCGCTTGCTGAGGACTCGTGCTGAAGCTGCATTCATCCTTTTTGGGGGATACAAACACAAACGGATAAACCCAGAAACAAGCTGAGCGCCATAAACCCGTGAGGCTAACCTGTTAGCATGCCGTGGTTTGCTACCTTTACCATTTGTTTTATTACGGTTTATTCTTTGGAATTATTTGGCTCTTCAGCTGCTAATATTACTATTAGGAAATAGCATCCATTATTGACACAGTAGGCTATATATCTGCGGTCATGGAAAAGAGACATTATTAATCATGTATGGCATATTTTGCACATTCAAAAGCCCCCAAGCCGAACATGCTCATGAACCAAAATCTCCGTCTTCCATTGAGAAATGTAGTCGCTCAATTTGATGTAACGGTTTTTCTTCAGCTCATTGTTCAGCTGCAGCGACTGGCTGCTGAACATAAAGGAGAATTTATCCTTTTTCATTATGAAAACCAAGCTAAAACAGGTATCACCATTCCCCAAGCTCCTTCTAATGATAATATTCCTCCATGTAGATATCTCTATTCAGAAATGTGATGACGTGTGAATTTTCAGTTTTGATTGATTGATCAGTTATTGCAGGTTGAAATACTTTATATGGACTTTTTCCAACATGCCGCAGTGTAGCACATTTTTGTTAGCCTACATTTTCTTTGCTGCTGATCTCCTCCTAACATTTCAACATGCAGCTGAACTTTACGTTAAGTAGCTTAATTTATGAGAACCTCAGGAAATGGGATTTAGAGGTTGGTGTTTCGGCTCATTAGGCTCATCTCAACATTATTGTAGGTCCCTGCTGTTGTCCATGTTCGCTCCCTGGTGTCATCCGCCGACAGAGCCAAGCTCAAGGGACAGTTCGGAGGACAGAAATGCATGTTTGTACTCTTTTTTAAAAGACGTGAACACGCATTTCTGAGACAACAAACACGTAATGTTGAAGCTCGAAAGAGGAGCATCTCATTGTCTGTGAACGCCCACCCAACAGCCGTGCGTCTCTCCCGGGTCACTCCTGGTGTCTCTCTCAGATTAGGCTTTGCTCTTTTCTCTCTAGTTTGGGGAAGATTTACTCGTTCCCGCTAATCCGTGGACGGCCCAAGGTCATAAAATGCACGCGCCGTTGTTTTTACAAAGGCTGGATTTCTTTTTCTTTTACAATATACCGAATAGTGCAGTGCAGGGATCCGGGTTCTGGCGCTGCTCATACAATAAAAGCCTCTGGAAAGATGTAAACACCCTTTCTGAATGCGTTGTTCCATTTCGTCACAACACATCTTAATGTGCTGGACTGACACAGTGTGGAACAACACACACACACACACACACACACACACACACACACACACACACAAGGCACGCCTCCGGGGGGAGCGACCATAAATTACACGAGTTAAATTCTATCCTAATTTTAGCCAAACCACATTAAAAATAAAGCGGTAATTATAGCTGAAACCAATTAGCTGGTGTTTGGCCCCACGTGGGGTTTGTGATAGAAACACACAACACTGCTGGTTGTGTTTCACGGTCGGCTGTCCAGCGTCAGTGTGACGCGTCACTTTCTATTTGATCTGATGGAGAGGCTGAAGGATTACTGGCACACACACGTGCCCCAAACAACTCAGCAACACCCCACGTAAGCAACGGGTAAGTTTCAGCTTTCCAATGATTGTCTTCAGACACATTTGGTGAAAACAAATCTCATTTAACTGACTGTTTTTGTAAAGATAAATAACTATAAACCTTTACATAATTCACAGGAGGAGCTCACTTTTACCAATACGTTTTGATTAGGCGTGTTGTTTTTAATACAAGCTAAAAGTTTTAAAGCATTTTTAAAAGAATATTGGATGAAAGCCATTGCAGTCAAGGAAACAATTAACAATTTTTTTTGATAATTCACACAAACTCTCTGCGTTGGATTGGCATTTTCACACTAGGACTTTTCAGGGCTGAATATATATTCAGTTGTGTTATTATCCACAAACCGTGGTCCCAAACACACTTAACACTTATTCACACTCAGGTTTATATAATTAAGGGAGTGTTTTCAAGGATTAAGACAAAAGCCTGACGGTTTAAATTCAAACCAATTTGTAGTTTTACGGGTTTTAATCGTGGTGAACATTTCAAAGGCATCAAGCATTCTAAACAAACCATACACGTCTTCAGACATCGATTAAAAGGCCTCTATACGTTCACATTGACACTGAAGGAATCCAGACAAGATGTATCTGCTCCACATCATTGTTTACAACTAAGCCCGCCAGTGCCCTTAATCACAACTTACATGAAATCATCGGAACCTTTTTCCAAACAAATTTTTTCGCTCTCACATTTTAGAAACAGGTTCACAGGTCACATTTTTTTTTTTTTTACTCGAATCAAGTTTTTTTCTTCTTCTACGCACAATAAAAACACACCAACTTTCTCATGCACATGAAGGTGCGGGATCCATCACTAATTGGCATCCGTGATTTTTCCAATTCTTTAATTAATTAGCTGATTGGCTTGATGCGACGCGCTGAAAACAGACACACTGACATCCCTCCCATTTAAAACATTTCATCGGAGCGCGCTGTAACGATCTTCATCCTTACCGTTCGACCGTCTGACAATATTCTCCAAAAAAGTATTCTGTGGGGCCACAAGTCCCCTCCGACCCCCCGCCATCCCGCCTCGGCACTCAGTCGTCTCGTCTGCAGGGGAACCTTTTACTCCTCGGTCTGCCGTCGGGCTCCATGGTCTCTGCGGCTGTGGCTCGCTGCGTGCGGAGGAGAGTGTTCGTCTGCTCTGCTCATCGGCTGCCTCCTCAGCGCGGTGCGGCGCGGTGCGATGCGGTGCGGTGCGGCGCAGCGCGGTGCGTTAACGCCTCTGCACGCAGCTCAGCATCCAGGATCCGAGCCCCGCGCAGGAGGGGCCGGGTCTCCGCATGCGTCACTGACAGGAGCTGGAGCGCCACCTGCTGGATGAAACGATAAGATGTGGCTGTGGTGAGATTATTACAGTTTGTTAAACCTGCTACTTCAATTTATATTAACTGATTAATATGATTAAACGGATTGTACAATCTTGAATTCTGGTTTATGACTACATTATGTCATTACTCTGCTTGTTGACAAGATCATCCTCTTTATCTATGTGAGTTTTTCTGTTTAGAGCTGAAATGTGTTTCCCAAAAGAGCAGCAATAACAAGTTGTAGATTTTTTTCTTCAGTATAATTGGGTCCATCTAAAGCTGCACTTCCCTCACAGGATGGCTAATCCTGTTCAATTATTTTGGACAGTGAGTAAAATAATGATCCTGCTGACGACGAACATTTCCCACCAAAAGAAAACCAGGTAAATCAAGGTTGCGACACCTGTGGATTCTCCGCTGGTTTGTCAATCGGGGTTACCTGTTGACTTGGCTACAGTGAAAAGAAGCACTGGATATGATGTGTAATGCTTGAGCAATAAAAAAGCTATACACAAAATACATGCTGTGGTGCTGTTTTATTTTTGTTTAATCTTTGTAGTGAAGCAAAATAAAAGACAAAAGAGCCTCGTGTTCACGACTCGATATTAGGGACGATGATTGCGGAGTCCATGTTTGCTTTGTGTTCGAGGACAAACACCTTCTGCCTGTATGATAATCTGAAATTGTCAAGTGCAACCTGCTGGCTCCACCTGTAGTTATGCATTAATGTTGGAATGAAAAGGAGTGATGTAATGTAAATACCGGTTATCAGACTAGTCATCAACAGGCGCCGTCCCGCATGTGAGCAGATTACAGATGGAAGGTCGACCTGCTGCAATAACAGCAGAGCCTGTAACCCCACCAAACAGAAGCAGGCCACTAAGATTTAGGACAATCCCAGTGCTCTCCACTATGGAAACAGCGTCATGTTGCACAACAATCCATTACTTAAGAGAGAGTGTTTACAGGATCCTTTCAAGGGATTTAACACTCTAGTTTCAGCTGTCGGGGTTTACTGACAGTCACAACCTTTAAATACACTTCAGTAGTTCATTTAATCACAGAGCATTTCTCATTTTAAATGAGCTAAAATAAGCAAACCACAGATCAGAAGAGCATTCAGTTTATATTCAGTACAACAAACAAACAGATCAGATTTGTTTTCTCAAATAAACGTGACGTGACGTTGTCCACGTATGAAGACGGTCCACGTATGAGGCCGTTAACTCGACCACGTCTTGGTGACGTTCAGATGACTCAGGTGATCTGTGATGTTCTTGTGTTCGGGAAATTTGGCGAACTTGGCCTCCTTGATGTTGAGCCAGTTCCGGGCTCTGCGCTCGACGGCGTGACAGTACTCCTGCTCGCCGGTCATGTACGGCCGGCTGATCCAGTACTCGTTCTCCGCCTCGCGCTCCAGGTGCTTCAGCGTGTTGCGCTTCATCTGCCACGTGATCTGTCGCGGGCGACGGTACTTTCCGATCCACTGCTTCCCGGGGATGCCTTTCCGCAGCAGGGCGAGGGTGAGGAACATGGTGGCGGGTTATTTCTGAAAGGGCCACAAGTACATGTACATAAAACCGCTATTACGTACTAGTCGCATCACCATAACAACCACACAGCAATAAGTTAGTTTGTTGGAAAAATAACAAGGTGTAGACCTGTTCTATAGGAAAGGTAAACGTAAATGATTTTAGGGAGGAGAAACGCTGCTGTTCTATTTAAGGGCCTCAGTGAGCTGAGACAGTGAGACAGCTGAAACGCGTGCAGCTGAACGGACTCAGGCGAGCTTCCGTCTGCACCTTCTAGAGGGACTAAGATCTGCACGCCACCGCAGAGCTCTGGGAAGTCGGCCGGAAGTGAAGGAACCCGTGTGGGCGGATCGTGAGTGGGGAGGTTTTAAGAAACCGCCATGTCATGAAAATAAAAAAACAGCAAAAAAGCGAAAAATGAGGTAAAATTGAGAAGTTCGGAACAGTAATTATAAGACACAAGAAAAAATAAATACGCGACATTTTGTGCAGCTTTGGCTCCTCCTGTCTTCCTGATTCCTTGTAAAAGTGTTCTTGAGCACAGTAATCCTTATAAGGACAAGTTAGATGCAGGTCAACTGCCATGTGATGATGAAATCATCGTCACCGTTACATTCTTCTTGAATCATTCTACATTTACGGTTTACTATACAACCGGAGAGGAATTTGCCCCATCGGTGTAATAACAGTCAAGTTCTTCAGCGCTGTGGTGGAAGATAAGATAAAGTAAATAATTGCACGGCAATGCAGGATTGAGAAGAAGGTGAGGGGAATAAAACATGTAGAGTTCACCTGAAGTGAGTCAATACTTCGTGTGGGTGTGAATTGTATTGCCACAATTCAAAACGCACCAAATATAGACAACGATTACCTCAATGTTATTAAAGCACAATGAGTCATTGATAGTGCCGGTCCTACTGCTGTGAATGACATCACTTTATTGTTCTGGAGTTGCAACGGCTATTGCGTAAGAAGTCTAAAGTGTAAAAACCCGTTTAGGGCTACTGTAATCAGCATTATTCTGAGTGAGACACTGAAAAGTTTTTTGTTTTGCCACATAAACTACTTTTCTTCTAGATTTTACTTTATTGCGTAATGTATGGCTTATTTCAAGGGAACAGATACTGTACAAAGACGAACTGAACTGAAACTCTCATTATCCAATAAGACAGATCAGATCAGATTAGCCTGATTCCTGTAAAAATATGAATAAACTGTGGTGAAATTGTGATGTGTAAAGTTGTAACTGTAAATATTGGGACAGAGGGAAGGAAAAAGCCTTCTCTTGGTGTTTCTCTTTTTAGATGCTGTGATTCAATTAAATTGAAGCACCTATGTAAATATTACAATAATAATAACAGTAATCTAAAAGTGTTGAGCATGTCCAAAAGCAGATAGAAATAGCTGACTAAATATTTTAAACAAAGACGTCAGTAAATAATTGAATGTGTGTGAATACCTCAAAATAGTTCAAACGAGAATCTGATCGTTGATCATCATAAGTAAATGTGTAACGTTAGATACAAAATGGTAGTTTGGCAATAAACCCATCTAATAAAAATAAACAGAAATATCAAGAAACAAATGGAGAATAGAAAAGAAATTGTATAAAACGAAATAGAAAATAAATGATTTATTTGCAATTAACTTGATTACCGTTAGATATTCAGCAACAATAGCTTCCACAAATACACGTTACAACCCCAAACTCATTCTTAAGATGTAAATGCTTAAGTCAACATATGAACCTTAGTTAATGAGGGTTAACGTGTTCATGTGTCGCGTGTCCGTGCGCGCGGAAGGCTGATTTGAGTTTGTAATGTTTACAATGTTATGCTAGCTTAGCTGCGGGCTAACGCAGCAGACCAAGGGCAGCTAGAAAGGGCATCATTAAATACTCATTGCACACTAATACTCTTTAGCCACGCTTTTGTTTCTTACCTTGCTTTCTAACTATGATATATGTTCTTCCCTTCCCAACGATAAGATGGACAAAAGCAGCGAATTAGACAATAAAGCAGAAGACCAACGTGGGGGTTAACACTTGCTGGCATGGACGGCTGTTGGCTGCTGACGTAACGGATTTCACTTCCGGGTTGCCTACGGTGTGGGAGAAAGCTAAAACTTGAGCAGACGCATCAATGGTAATAGAGAAATAAATACTTTGAACTATTCCCTTTCATGGATTGGTCCAAAAGAGTATGTTATCTATACGAGGATGACACATTGCAGTACTTTTATCTCCGACTTGGATGATCTCATTCCTCTTTAGATAGTAGCAACACACCTGCGCACAACCGCATAATTGAGTTTAATAACCTGAAATATGGACATATACGTTGCTTTAACTATCACTCGTTCCTTAGAAGTCGAGGTTTAAATTGAATTTGAGTTGAGTGAGTAAACGTTTTTCATCTCAAAGTCTTTAAATGGCTTCTGTTTGCGGAAGCGAATTTCTCCCTGGTTAAAAACAACAGCTAATTAGGCTAAACGAGCTGATGATTATTGCTCTTAAATCGGAACAACAGCACTGTGAACTTATAAGGACATCTCTCCTCAGGTGGGGAATAAAGAGCCGCACCCTGGACTCGTTCCTCCATAAACACCGTGTCTTTGTTGGACCTCCCTCTGCGCTCCTCCCACCTCCGCGTGTTTATATTCCGTCTGTCTCTCATCCGTCCTCATATTGGACAGTTTGCGTCCAGCCTGCTGCGGGAAGTCAACATGTTTCTGTTTGACTGGTTTCCAGCAACCAGCTGGACTTTGCTGGCTCTCTTCTTCACCCTCTTTATTCTGTGAGTATAGTTTCTACTCGGTTTCGATTGACGGAGCCGTGTAACGTTACATAACTCCACAATCTCTCTTTAATCATACAGGTATGGCATTTGGCCATATAGGTTTTTCAAAAACCTGGGGATTAAGGGTCCAAGACCTTTGCCGTTTATTGGAACATTTCTACATTTCAGAAAGGTAATGTCACGTGAACAAACCACAACCACAACCTATAGCGAGGATGGTGATGGGATGATTGGTTTATCCATCCAGCTTTGTATCTTTGACCACTTAGTCGACGTTCTTGTGAAATTCCTTGCAGGGATGGCTCAATTTTGACCGTGAATGCCAGGCCAAGTACGGGGACGTCTGGGGGTGAGTTGTTGTTGTTGTTGTTGTTGTTGTTGTCTCCCCCTTCTTCCTCTTACAGGTCACAAGTGTGTTGTTTATTATTGAGTAAAAGTAGTTCATTGTGAAAGCAAAATGTGCTAAAGAAGGATTTAGTTATTTCTCTCCTTTGAGGAATTGGCAAAAGTTGTGACCGTTGTATATTTAATCCAGTCTTTGAGCTTTTCAACCTGTTAATGTTTTATTATTGACTGATCTGTAACATTGTTTTGTCCTGTGCAGGAACTTTGATGCACGACTACCAGTTCTGATGGTGGCAGACCCTGAGATCATTAAAACTGTGATGGTGAAGGAGTGCTACTCTGTGTTTACCAACCGCAGGGTGAGGGACTCATCTCGCTGCATGTTGAACATCACGTTAAGTGACATTGCAATATTTAGTCCGTTTTTCTATAATTCATGCACTTTGATTCGCTGTTTATTCAATAAAACAACACATTAAGGTCCTTGTAGAAACACTGCTTCTCTGCAACGATGCAAGAATACCAGAAAGACAGATTAAAAAGGAGAGAACGATGCTTTTAATGGTTTGGCAAATGGTCTGTCCTGGGACCCATATGGTTAGGAAAGGGTTACTACTATATGCATCTCATCAGGCAAAGCTCAGACTTATTTTTTGCTAAACCGTAAGGGGAGAAAAGGCTGCCAATTATGCCTCAGTCAAGTCAAGAGAACGTTTGGTTTTGTTGTAATATCCCGGAGTTTCCACAGTGAGTCAGAGATTTAACCCTGAGGATTACACCAGGCCTCACATGCAACTGTATTACACATATTGACATCTGCATTAAGAAACCTTTTCTTAAACTTTTCTTTCCGTATTAGAATTCAGCTTCGTCGGACATAATAGGCAGGACAAACGTTTCCATACAACAGTCTAAACTGTGTGATTGATGTCCCGCTCACAGGAAAATGCCGTGCCGGGACCTATGGGTGATGCAATCACAGCAGTTAAAGACGAACGGTGGAAAAGAATTCGGACCTCTCTATCACCATGCTTCACCAGTGGGAGATTGAAACAGGTTGGTTCCCTTGGTTTTTGTGACCTGTGAAAGGAGGTGAGTGAGTAAACGGCTCATGTTTCAAGAAGGTCAAGAGGACGGCTGCACCCTGAAGCATACCTGGTTGTTTTCCTTTGAAGGTTTTTCCCATCGTCGCTCGCTATGCAGACCGACTCACCGAAAAACTTGGAGGAATGCATTCGGTGCCAATCGATGTCAAACAGTATGTTGTTAATCTGCTTTGTGCCGTCCTCCACCACAGAGCTAACTGAGACCAAGAAGGGTTATCCATTCATATTGTCATAAAACGATCTAAAAACGGAAGCTTTTCATGTTAATTCCTCAAAGAAACCACCTCTCTTTTTTCTGCTTAGGTTCATGGCCCCTTACAGCTTGGACGTTGTGACCAGCGCGTCCTTCAGTGTTGAGGCAAACTCCATAAACAATCCAGACGACCCGCTGAATGTTCATCTCAAGAACATCCTTAACTTCAAATTGTGGCCTGTCTTTATACTAAGTATGTTCTCCCTTTCACCTGTGCTGAGATCATTGAATCATGTCGGTGTTTTGGAATCACGAGTAGCCATAATGTGATAAAAACAACCCTTTTGTTTCCCTCCAGTGCTTTTTCCCTTCGGCGCCCGTCTGCTAAGACTCCTGAAACTCGAGATGCTGGATAGAGTCAGTGTGGATTATTTCTACGACGTCATCAAGCACTTCAAACACCAGCATGGGGAAGACGAATCTGTGAGCATTTCATCTGTACTGAGAGGGAAAAGAAATGCTGCAAAGAATAAAACAAATCTCTCGCTCACAAGAGTCAAATAGAACGATTGATAACACTCTTCGATTTGTGCCGAATGTTCTGTTTGCGGATCCAGACACGAGCGGACTTCCTGCAGGTGATGATTCAGAACGAGATACCAGATACGGACATAAAGAGTGAAGAGGATCAGCCGAGCAAAGGTACGTTTGCTAAATCCTATTTATAAAACTCATTTGGACCTTAAAACTGACTACTATTATTTCTTTTAACTTAAGAGCAAATGCACCGTTGATTTTACACGTGAAGATAAACGTCAAAGTCACACTTTTTATTTCGTCGTAGGTTTGACTGAGCACGAGATCCTTTCTCAGGCTTTAATTTTCATCTTTGGCGGCTATGAGACCACCAGCACCACTCTCACTTTCCTCCTCTACAACCTGGCCACCAACCCTGATGCCATGCGGACCCTGCAGGAAGAAATCGATGCCAACATCCCGAGAGATGTATTTTCATCATTTGATTTGTTGCCATAGATAACAAACCTTTCAGTAGCTGACATTGGACGTCCTGCTGACCCGCGCCTCTTTTTTCCTCTGTCCGTAGGCTCCAATCCGCTACGAGGACCTGCTCGGTCTGCAGTACCTTGACCAGGTCCTTTTGGAGTCACAGCGTTTGATCCCCACCGCGCCTCGGCTCGAGAGGGTGTGCAAGAAAACCACCCAGGTCCACGGCCTCACCATCCCCAAAGACACCCTGGTGGGCATTCCGGTTCAATTGTTGCACATGGACCCGCGCTTCTGGAGCTCACCGGAGCTCTTCAGGCCCGAGAGGTAAACCTGCGCCTCGCTTTCATTTTGAGAATCCACGTGAGAGAACGTGTGACCTCTGACAGGACAATCCCTGCCTCAAGGTTCAGCAAAGAGAGCGGGGAGGAGGTGAACCCGTACGCGTACATGCCGTTCGGCCTCGGCCCACGCAACTGCGTCGGGATGCGCTACGCTGTCCTCACCATGAAGACGGTCCTCGTCCGTCTCCTGCAGAGCTACAACGTGGAGACGTGCAAAGACACCATGGTACGATGGCAGCACACAGACATTCATGCAGACGGTCACGGTACTCCGTCGTCATGTCCCTCATCTTGCATCTGTTTTTCCCCTTTAGATTCCGTTGGAGTTTGACTGGAAGGCCCAGCCAGTGCAGCCAGTGAAGCTCCAGTTTGTTCCCAGAGAACAGTAGTTAAAGAGGGAGCTTCTGATAACATCTCCTGCTTCTGAATCGCTCAAGGATTAGAGCTAGAATTAACGTGATTTTAATGCACCTAAGGCACCAGATTTTTCTCGCAATGTTGATAAATCCAATGTATTTGATAGATTTAATAAAAGTGAGTCATTTTTATTGATGTCAAAAGAGGCAAAAGTCTTCTATTGATATTTTTTACGGCAAGTTTGCGCAGCTCTTTCACACATAAATGGAAATAAAATAAATATGGTTCATGATATAACCTTTCTCTCTAACAGATTTCCCTACAAAAATTGTTACTGTTATAATTTACCATTAAAGCTTTCACTGTAAAACGCTTACTTAAAATGCTTCTACCAGAATTTTAAGTTTTCATTGTAAATAAAGAAATGAAAGATGAGAGAAGGTCAAAATTGTGTTCTGAGAATTGATATAAAGAGAAATTGTCAAGTTTGTTCATAAATAAATATGTATATATATATATATATATATATATATATATATATATGTATGTATATACATATAAATAAATGGATGGATACGTTTGATGACGAACAGGCCTCCTGAGTACAGTTCTCCATCTGTCCACCAGATGTCCTCTGACTCTCCCTCCTGTCATGGTCACTTGATTTCACTCATCCCCTTGTTCGTTCATCAATTAACCTCCTCAGTACTTCTCTTCACTTTATTTTGACAGATTGTGAGTGGTGCTTTGTTACTTCTATTCTCACTATGATCCCAGTATTATTATTAGTATCTTCACTACTTTCAAAAATCACTGAGATCTTTTTGCCGGTCTGGGTTATCGGTTCCCTTGTTACATTACATTACATTACATGTCATTTAGCTGACGCTTTTATCCAAAGCGACTTACAATAAGTGCATTCAACTATAGGGGTACAAACTCACTTGTTATTCACCTGCCTGACAAATACAATTAATAAACTCAGTGGTAATATTACTACTTTGATCTTTCCTAAAGGAGAAATAGAAATACTCTCTCAGGAAAGAGGTATGATATACAACCTTTAAATAATAGATCCGTACAGCACTAAATGAACTACAAGGCCATCCGACATCCAGGCGACCTGAAATCGGACTAAGTATCTTTTTCTTTAAACCAAGCTAGTCTGCTAAATTTGTTGTTGATTCTAGTGTCTTAAGTTAATTTGATTGCTGATTTGCTTTAGTTCTTGCCGTTTTACTGCCAGTTCTCTGTTTGAAGTTATCTTGGTTGCTAGTTTGCTTAAGCTCTTTCACTTTTTTAGTGCCAGTTGGTGTTCTAGACTCTACTATTAAGTTAACTGCCAGTGTGCCCTCCTAACTCTGCTAGGTTTGACCTGATCTAAGTCTGGTTTGCCTTCTCTTCTGAATCAAATAAGACTTGAATCCTTAAAGTCTCAGTCTCTCAAAACACCACATGGTGATTGTTTACTGATTAGGGTGTCAAGCAATTGGTGTTTTGCATTTTGAGGAGTTTCTGTCGAGGCCAATCGACCTTTTGTCTCCTAAATGACGGGGGAGTGGTCAGCGCTGCCGTAGCCGAGTCCCACTAACGAGGGAGTATTTAACTAGAGGTCGAGTGAAAAGCTTGTCCTCGCAGCACGAAGACGAGCAGGACAAAGACGAGCAGGACAAAGACTAGGGAGTCTTTCGTGGGAGTCAAGACGAGCAGGACAAAGACTAGGGAGTCTTTCGTGGGAGTCTTCGGGGCGGCTGAATGCGGCGCCTTCTTCTGCTGCTTTCAATAATGTGTTTGACCCCTTTACCCGTACCTGTTCGAATCCCTTCCGGCAGACACTACAGGCCTCGTGCTAGCTCTCTATCGTAACCTCTCCTCTCTCACCTATCCCACCCGCTCCACACATGTCCAGCACCTCGTCACAGGAGGCCTCTGGAACTGCCAGTCAGCTACTCGCAAGGCGGACTTCATCTCCGGCTTCGCTATCCAGCAGTCGTTTGACTTCCTCGCTCTCACCGAGACCTGGATCACACCTGAGAACACATCCACCGCAGCCGCTCTCTCCTCCGCCTTCTACTTCAGCCACACACCCAGGCCCACTGGTAGGGGTGGTGGCACAGGTCTACTCATTTCACCCAAATGGAGCTTTTCTCTTTACCCTCTTCCACCATCCACCCCACTGTCTTTCGAATTCCATGCTGTAACAGTTACTCACCCGGTGCAATTAACCATTGTTGTCCTTTACCGTCCGCCAGGCTCCTTGGGTCATTTCTTGTAAGAACTGGACATTCTCCTGTCCAACTTCCCTGAAAATGGCCCTCTGCTCATCCTCCTGGGTGACTTCAACATCCAGACAGAGAAGTCATCTGACCTCTTACACCTACTTTCTTCTTTCGCTCTGTCACTCAGTCCCTCCCCTCCTACTCACAAAGCCGGCAAACACCTTGATTACATCTTCACAAGAAACTGCTCTACCACTAACCTCTCTGTAACTCCACTTCATGTGTCTGACCACTTCTTCATCTCTTACTCTCTCCCACTCTCTATAACTAACGACCCTGCCCCATTGACTGACTCTGTACCTGTTCGTCGCAATATTCGCTCCCTCTCTCCCTCCTCCCTGGCATCCACTGTTCTATCAGCTCTCCCTTCTACTGACTCCTTGTCACTCTTGCATCCGAACGCTGCTGCTGCTGAGACTTTCCTCTCAACTCTTTCCTCCTCTCTAGACTCTCTCTGCCCTCTTACGACATGACGGACTGGCAAATCCCCTCCGGCTCCGTGGCTGTCTCAACCGGTGCGTGCCATGAGAGCCACCATGCAAGCATCGGAAAGGAGATGGTGTAAATATAAACGACCTGATGACCTGCTTGAATTTCAATCTCTTCTCTCCTCTTTTTCTGCTTCTATCTCTGCTGCCAAAAGCTCTTTCTACCAATCCAAAATCAAATCCTAATTTTCTAACCCCAAAAAACTATTTTCGATCTTCTCCAACCTCCTCGAACCCCCTAGTCCTCCTCCCCCCTCCCCCCTTCTTCCGGGTAACTTTGTCAACTAGTTTACCAAGAAAATAGCTGACATATGCTCCTCTTTCTCAAACCCACATCCTACTTCTTGCATCCCACTGACTTCACCTCTATCGCCCTCACTCTCCTCTTTCACCCCCCTGTCTCCTAACCTAATTCTTACCCTAGTAACCTCTGCCCGTCCGACCACCTTCCCTCTTGACCCCATTCCATCCCATCTTCTACAATCTATCGCACCTGACCTTCTTCCTTTCCTCACCTATCTCATCAACAATGCTCTGTTATCTGGCTGTTTTCCCAATTCTCTGAAGGAGGCAAGAGTTAACCCTCTCCTGAAGAAACCTACCCTCAGAGAGACTGCTCTCCTTGCTGTCTCAGAGCAACTCCACACTGCTAGAGCCACCCCTCTCTCCTCTGTCCTCATCCTTCTGGACCTCTCTGCTGCATTTGACACAGTCAATCACCAGATCCTTATTTCCTCCCTTCAGGAACTTAGTGTCTCAGGCTCTGCTCTCTCCCTTCTCACGTCCTACCTCGACGGCCGCACCTACTGGGTAACCTGGCGAGGATCTGTGTCGGAACCTTGTCCTCTTACTATTGGCTGACTCTGCCTGTCTAACTGACATCTCTCAGTGGATGTCCGCCCACCATCTGAAAATCAACCCCGACAAGACTAAACTACTTCTCTTTCCCGGAAAAGATTTGCTTACCCAGGACCTGACAGTCAACTTTGGAAACTCCGTACTAACGCCTACTTTGACCGCTAAGAACCTCGGCGTCACACTCGACAGCCAACTCTCCCAGACTCCCAACATCACCGCGACAACGCGATCTTAGAATACGTCCCCTTCTCACTCAGAAGGCAGCGCAGGTACTGATTCAGGCTCTTTTCATCTCCCGCCTGGACTACTGCAACTCCCTCCTGGCTGGTCTCCCTGCCACTGCCATTCGACCTCTGCAGCTCATTCAGAATGCAGCAGCTCGACTGGTCTTCAACCTTCCGAAATTCTCCCACACTACTCCACTCCTCCGCTCTCTTCACTGGCTACCGGTGGCCGCCCGCATCCAGTTCAAAACATTGGTGCTCACGTACCATGCTGTGAATGGATCGGGTCCAGCTTACATCCAGGACATGGTCAAACCCTACATCCCAACCCGCACTCTCCGCTCTGCATCTGCAAAACTACTCGTCCCTCCCTCACTGAGAGCAAAACACTCGACTAGATCTCGACTATTTGCTGTCCTTGCGCCGAAATGGTGGAACGAGCTCTCTGAAGACATCAGGACCGCAGAGAGCCTTCACATCTTCCGCCGCAAACTAAAGACACACCTCTTCAGACTCTACCTCGACTAAAGACTAACAAATTGTAGCACTTAAATTGTACTTGTAACGTCACTCATCTATAGCAAATTGTAAATTGGCTTATTTGAGGAAATTGCACTTTCTTGTTTCTTGTTCTTTTGAGTTTGTACCCTATGGTTGAATGCACTTATTGTACGTCGCTTTGGATAAAAGCGTCCGCTAAATTACATGTAATGTAATGTAATGTAATTGGAGTTCCTCAGGGTTCCGTCCTGGGTCCCGTTCTCTTCTCGCTCTACACCAACACTGTATATGCTTAAGTCAACATATGAACCTTAGTTAATGAGAGTTAATGTGTTCATGTGTCGCGTGTCCGTGCGAGCGGAAGGCTGATTTGAGTTTGTAATGTTTACAATGTTATGCTAGCTTAGCTGCGGGCTAACGCAGCAGACCAAGGGCAGCTAGAAAGGGCATCATTAAATACTCATTACACCCTAATAGCCTACTCTTTAGCCACTCTTTTGTTTCTTACCTTGCTTTCTAACTATGACTATAGCTATAGCTTATTAGGCTAAATTAGTTGATGGGTGGAGGATTATTGCTCTTAAATCGGAACAACAGCACTGTGAACTTATAAGGACATCTCTCCTCAGGTGGGGAATAAAGAGCCGCACCCTGGACTCGTTCCTCCATAAACACTGTGTCCTTGTTGGACCTCCCTCTGCGCTCCTCCCACCTCCGCGTGTTTATATTCGGTCTGTCTCTCAGCGTCCGTCCTCATATTGGACAGTTTGCGTCCAGCCTGCTGCGGGAAGTCAACATGTTTCTGTTTGACTGGTTTCCAGCAACCAGCTGGACTTTGCTGGCTCTCTTCTTCACCCTCTTAATTCTGTGAGTATAGTATCTACTCGGTTTTGATTGACGGAGCCGTGTAACGTTACATAACTCCACAATCTCTCTTTAATCATACAGGTATGGCATTTGGCCATATAGGTTTTTCAAAAACCTGGGGATTAAGGGTCCAAGACCATTGCCGTTTATTGGAACATTTCTACATTTCAGAAAGGTAATGTCACGTGAACAAACCACAACCACAACCTATAGCGAGG